GTTCTAACTGTAGCTTCTTGTCCCACATAGAGATTTCTCAGGAGACAGATGAGGTGATCAGGCACTCCCATTTCTTTAAGAACTTGCCATAGTTTGCTGTGGTTGACACAGTCAAAGGCTTTTGCATAGTCAATGAAGCAGAAGTAGATGTCTTTCTGGAACTCTCTAGCTTTCTCCATAATCCAGCGCATGTTTGCAATTTGGTCTCTGGTTCCTCTGCCTCTTCTAAATCCAGCTTGCACTTCTGGGAGTTCTCGATCCACATACTGCTTGAGCCTTCCTTGTAGAATTTTAAGCATAACCTTGCTAGCGTGTGAAATGAGTGCAATTGTGCGGTAGTTGGAGCATTCTTTGGCACTGCCCTTCTTTGGGATTGGGATGTAGACTGATCTTCTCCAATCTTCTGGCCACAGTACTCCATAAAGGAGAGGGTAAGAGAAAGTCTGGGTTGAGGGAGAGGAAAGTGTGGGAAAGCAGTGATATAGGACTTGTGTATGGGACAACATCTTATAGACAGGAAAGAATCAATGGAGGTACAGGGAGCTTTCTACCCACATTAATCAGCAGTATGGGTGAGCCCTAAGTGAATGTCTTTCGCCTGACTCCTGTTGGTGAATATTGGAGCTCGAGTAAAACACAATGCAGACCTCAGTGCCTTCTCCCAATATGCAGTGCATAACTACTGAACCAATGAGTTTTACTTCTGAGGAGACATGCAACTATGGCGCTGCTGAAGTTGTGAGTATTCTTCACAAGTGAGATTATTCTTTAATAGCTATTATTTATTATTTAATAGTTGCTTTTTATATAAAAAGTCTCAAAGTGTCTCAACATAAAATACAAGTTAGACTCATAGAATTGTAGAGTTGGAATGTACCATGAAGGCCAATTCGTTAAAACAATTCAACTAATATTTAAATAAACACAAAACACCTCAGATGTGCATCCTGTAACATAATGGTGTAAACTGGAGTGGAGGTTAGGCTGTATGATGCCTGCATCCCTTCTAATTCCTGAATCCAGGAAGGGTTAAAATCCATTGGAAGATTCCATTGTTGAATTAGCCAGGGAAAGGTCATAGTCATCATCTAAGTATGGAAGTGGATTTCTGTCAAAGGACAAATGGGTGGGGGTGCTCCCTCACATGGCTCCTGTAAGAAAGAGAAAACCAGAGTCCTGTGTGAGAGAGAGCTGGGCTAGAAGCAGGCAGAAGCCAGAGTGTGAGAGCCAGGGCTTTTTTTTGCTGCTGGAACTCGCATGAACTCAGTTCCAGCACCTCTCAGGTAGGGACCATTGCCATTCTAAGAGACTGAGGGAGGTCTTAATGGTGAGTTCCAGCACCAAATTTTCAAGCAAAATAGTGGTGAGAGCCATGTTTGAGTTCTACTTGAATCCAAGCCTGAGAGAAGCAATAATTTATATATATATATTGCTTCTCCCAACATATGTATATGCATAGCTGTCAATATTCCCTTTTTTTGCGGGAAATTCCCTTATTCCAGCGCCGTTTCCAACTGCTTCCTGCTGCTATCCCGAATTGTTAGATATCTTGTAGACTGTCCCCGGGACAGGTGAGGCTGCTGATCCCTTATTTTCAAATCTGAAAGTTGACAGCTATATATATGTATGTGTGTGTATGTATGTAAGTAAGTATATGTATGTTGTTGTTGGTATCCGTCCGTCTCAGGAGAATCATAAAGACAGAGTCTCCCCTGTGTTGTAAACAAAAATTGCCCTTTTCCCTTATGGGGTATCCAAGAGCCCATATAGAGTCCTTACATAGGTTCCCTATTGGTAGGAGAGAATAACAGAGGCCAATCAGAGAATATTGAGAAGCAAAGTAGCTATTAAGCTTGATCTTTATTGATTTATTGCAACAGGGTGCTCCCCTCACCCGCAGGAGGAGGGACCCAGAAAAATGGCATGCAAGGTCTTATAAAGACTTTGAAATTCCCATCCTGTAGATCAAGACCACCCCCAGAAACATCATGCATACATCACAGAAAGGGTGTAACCTAAGACCACCCCTCAGATACATCACACCTACATCACAGAAAAGGCGGTCTAAAACAGAATTTGAATATTGGTTTTCTCCTGTTGTTATCTCCTATCTGGCAGGTTACTTAATTGGATTGCCTGGGGAGCCTGGCCGTTCTTTTGTAGTGATAAATACTTAGTTCCTGGGCCAGGTCACAGACTCACACCCTATTCAAACACAGACATACCTTTAAGACAGGATTTGTGAAGGAAAAGACAATGGGGACACTTTTCCAGTTTGACCTTGCAGAGAAAACATTTGCTCAGTTTAGGAACCAAAATGGTTCCAGGTTGGCCTTCCTGTGCTGATCTATGTATGTGCTTGGTTGTACACTTATGAACATTATCATATATCTAAGACCATAAAATTCCTATCACAGTGTGAGTGAATAAAAAGATGCCTAAAATATTGAAGAATGCTCGAGCATGCACCACTCTGGCGAGACAGTCTGTGTGCAGGTAGGGTCTCAGCCTGCGTACCAGATGGAGCTGGTAAACAGCTGCCCTGGACACAGAATCAGGAAAGTCTGGTCCCATAAGATCCATAGCAGGGGTGGGCAATTTGCGGTTCTATGGTTGTGTGTGGCCCTTGCCTGAATTTCATGAGGCCTATTTAAAAATAAAACACTGAAAGCAATCAGTTCAGACCTCTGGCAAGAGTGATCTGCCAGACTGTTTTTAGGCAGGCTGGCAGGTGGGTGGCAAAAGAGTGACAGGTGAGGCAGGAAGAGGGCTCTAGCCTTGTGCACCACAGCCTTCAGGACCCCCCCCCACCTCCTCACTCCCAACAGATTACATCTGAGGGACAGGAAGCCCCTCACCCTGACGGTTGTTCACCCCTGGCTTGGAGCAAGGTTTTGTTGAGTGTGCAATTGGATGCAAAACATTGAGTTGGGGGTGAGAAAGTGCAGTTAGAAAGCTGGCAATGATGCCGTTTGGAAAAAAAGGAGCAGAGAAATTAGCTACGTTAGTTTATAAGTGTTTATTAAGCAGTCAAGGAACAGGCAATGCCAGGGCCAGCATGTGCCCAGGTTATAGAATGTGCTGCATTCTTCCAATCAAATGCCCAAGCCAGGCCAAAACCCCTGCTTCTTCAGGGATGGAAGCTTCCGTACTGCGCTGTCTTCTGGCAGAAAATGCTTTATTTCACCCTTGCAAATACCTTAGTTACTGAACTAAGGCAGATTCATAAATGAATTGTCACTGTAGAGTAGATAAGAACTGCTGACTCCTATAGAGAAACTGTCACGGATAGAGGGTGTAAGCAAGGAGCAAAGCACGCTTTGTGCTTTTTCTTGTTTTGGTGTGGGGTGTCTGATGGAGAATTTGTGCATTTGGAAACACTGCTTTTTTTAAAATACTGTAAAAAAAGAAAGCCTGGCTGGCTTGGAGAAGCCAATCCAGAGTGCTTACTGCTGAATGTCTTTGTTCTGCAATAGGGTGGTGAACGTTTTGTGTTTTGAGTCTTCACTCCTGGGATGGTCTTCAGGAAGCAAGAATTCTCCCATCTCTACCTGCTGAATTTCTGCCTGTTGGGCACAGTTTAAGGGGGCTGGGAGGGAGCTGGCAACCAATTCCATGTCCTTGCCCATGCGTTTGGCTCTGCTTCTCAAAAACTAGCCTGTAGAAAACAGACTCGGATTTTGGCTTCCACTGTCTCTACATACAAAGTACAGTTCCAATCTTCTAGTACTTGTCCATAATTAATTTTTTTAAATAACTTTTTTGGGAACTTCTTGCTACAATAAGTTGCTAGAGTTGTTATTCTCAGGGTCCAGCTGCATATACACAACAATTTATTCTAGAGTGAATGGGGACAGGGCACTCATTTTTTCCTAAATGGTCTGTGCAGCTGATCCATTGCGTATTTTTTGACTCTGAAAAATGCTTCTCAATAAACTGGTTTCATTCTGAAAATAAAGAATGGTGGGCACCTTTTTCTTTTTCTTCCTCCTCCCGTACCTGCAGTTGGAGCCAAGGAGGATCTGCAACAAAATGTTACATATGGATTTGAGGCTGTGTGTGCTTTTCTCTGCCCCTCCAGATAAGTGGAGTTTTTTAATCCAGGCAGGCAGACGGCGAGAGCCCCGCGCTGGGCTGCCTCTCCTCGCCGCCGCCGCCCCACCTCTCGCCGCCCGACTCGCCCGCCTCCCTCCCACGGAGGTAGGCTGGTGTGCCGTGGGAGGCAGGCGGGCGAGTCGGGCGGCGAGCACACGCGGGGCGGCGAGCGAGCTCCCTCCCACATCCCATCGCCGCTCGCTTCGGCTGGCCTACTGGGCTGTCGCAGGCGGAAGGCCTGCGCATGCGCGAGGTTTTCGCGCCTTCCTCCAGTAGGCCGGCCGAAGCGAGCGGCGATGGGATGTGGGAGGGAGCTTGCTCGCCGCCCCACGTGTGCTCGCCGCCACCGCCCCGCCTCTCGCCTCTCACTAGTGTGCCGCGGAACACCGGTTGGGAAACATTGCTCTACACCACAGAAAATGAAAACACTGAGAACTGGCAACAGGAAGATTTCAGAAATGGAAAACGACTTCCAGATCCAGTCTTAACCTTTTTTCCATAGCAGTCAGTGCATTTAAAACACATGGCTTTCCCCCAAGGATCCTGGGAACTGTAGTTTGTTAAGGGCGGTGGAAATTGAAACTCTGAGGAAACTACACCTCCCAGGATTCTTTGGAAGAAGCCATTGTGCTACGGATGTGAGCAAAGTCCCATTTGATGGGCATCTGTTTCTGCCCCTTGTGCGATGATGAGACTCCAACAGAATCAGACAAGATTCTAAATAAAAAGACTAGGACATTTTTTACACAGCTTTCCCCATGAGACCTTTATTGGGGCGTTTTGTGCAGTGCAACACCTGCGTTCATAGTATAAGTCACAGTATATGTGGTAACAATAAGATGCTCTGTAAATAGGTGCCAGACAAAAACATTCCTCTACACCAACGGCCTTTGACCCATCTACGTACAGCCTTTTAAATGGTTTTGTGCGTGGGTGGAGTCACTGTTTTTTGTTATTTATTTTTGTATTTCTATACTAAATACAGTAGTGGTAATAAGAAATAGCGTCTGCATTTTCTCTGAAATGGAATTCGACTTTGAGAGGTGGAGAGGCAGAGCAGCTGGGCTTCAGTTTTTACGCCGCGCTGGCTCCAGAAGACGAGGACGTGCAGCTACATTGAGGGAATGGGGCCAAACGCGACACGCGTTGCTGCGGATACTTCCCACGCGAAAGAGAGCCCCGCGTGCGCGCCTGCGCAGTGCCTTCTCTGCGCCCCCGGACCTCCTCCTCATGGCTCTCTCGGGAGGCACGACTCTCTCCCGTCAGACCACACGAGTAACAAACTCTCGCGATGCGGCCGGACGTGTGACCTCTTACTCTTGCGTGAGCACGCAAGGCTCCGCCATCTTGGGAAGCAGCGTCACGTGACTCCCAACGGTCGTCTCCTCGACCTCCTCCTTTTTGCCCCTCCCAACGGGGAAAAAAACCGGGCCTAGGCCAGCGCTTGAGCCTGAGGCGGCAGCTTGCGGGTTACTCCAGCGAACTACGAGCCGGCATCGGGATTCACGGAAGGGGTTCGCATTTTAGAAACCTCCCCCCGCCGCGCCTCCCCCTCCCCTTCGCATTCCTCTGAAGTGAGGGAAGAGCGTGAGGAAACGGCGGGCCACGTGACCGAGGGACGCGGCGAAGGATCGTCCGGGCAGCCCGCCACGTGATGCGAGGGAAGGCGGCGAAGGAGCTTGTGGTGACGACGCCGAGGAGAGCAAGGAGCACGCGTGCGCACTGGCGTTTCCCTGGGCGCGAGGGGCAAGGGAGACGGGAGGGGCGGAGGAGTCCGGGCGATGGTCACGTGGCTGCGCAGTGGCGTCGCGCGTCTCCGGGCAGAAGAAGGCGGCGGCGGCCGCGGCGGCAGCAGCAGCTCCAGCAGCCGAGCCGTCCTGCTGAGGTCACGTGGCGCAGCGTCACCCGCCGCCGCGAGCCTTTCCCTCGTCGCGCGCCGCCGCGCCGCCCCCTCCCTCCCCCTGCCCTCTCTGCGCGAGGGGAGGGCAGGCGGGCGCGCAAAGATGGCGGCGGCGAGTTAGAAAGCGGCTGAGGCGTCGAGGAGGGAGAGCAGCTCGGCGGAAGGAATCCCGGCCAGAGTGAGTCCCTCCTGCCCCGCTCCTTCGGGGGGGTTTTTGGTTTTCATTCGTCGGTGGTGGGGGGGGGGGTCCCTCCGCTGCCGCCCCGCCTTCTCTCTCTCTCTGTCTCTCGTAGCTTTGCTGTATTGAAGGAAGAAGCGCCCCCCCCCGCTCTCCTTCCCCACACGCACCTTCTCTCAGGTGTTGCTCTCGGGCCCCCTCCCTCAGTGCTGCGCAGGGGAACGTTTTCTGCCGCCTCTTCCCTCCCCTCAGCGCCCCCCAGACGGGCTCAATAACAACAACACAGCGCAGAGCCCTGAAGTTCTCTGTTGCATTGCGGGGAGGCGGCTCTTTCTTCCCCCAGCCCTTCAGGTTGAGAAGAAGCATAACTCGCCCCATATAACAGACATAAAGAGGAGGAATTTGCTTTAAAGCCACCCCTGTGAAGAAAGTCACTGAGCTGGGGTGTCGTCTCTTTCGCACACTCACCCCCCAAAAAAAATCTTACGGGTTTTCCTTTCAATTTGTCTATGGTGCAAGGGGTCTTCTCCCTCCTTCCCCGTTAGGAATGGGTTTTTCTACTTTCTTTGCGGTTTATGCCAGGATACCAAGCTGTTTTACTGTTGGAAAAGCCTTGCAGCTCCCTGTGCGGCTTAGCTTGGTGCCCTCGAGTTACTGTTTGACTGCAGTTCCCATCATGCTTCATCATTGGCTATGCCAGCTTGTACCGATGCGTATTGTAGTCTAGTGAAATATGGAGGACAGCACATGGGCTACCACTGACCTAGTGTCTTCGTTAGGGCAGGGTCTTGTTTCCACCTTGATTGGAACTAATCAATCCTAGCACCCCCTGCTTTCCACATAGGCTGGGCAGAGAGAAAGATGGTGAGGACTGAGTGTTAACAGGTAATCCCCTATATGTATGAGCACTGGTAATGTATTATTATAGGGAAAGTACCCTGGCCCGTACGGGCCAGTCCTGACAGACTCTAGGGTTGTGCGCCCAATTCTCACTCAAAGAGGCACGGGGGCCAGCGCTGTCCGCAGACACTTCCGGGTCCGTGGCCAGGGACAGCTGCATCTGGCGAGCCAGCGCAGCACACGGAAACGCCGTTTACCTTCCCGCTGGTAAGCGGTCCCTATTTATCTACTTGCACCCAGGGGTGCTTTCGAACTGCTAGGTTGGGAGGCGCTGGGACCGAGCAACGGGAGCGCACCCCGCCGCGGGGATTCGAACCGCCAACCTTTCGATCGGCAAACCCTAGGCGTTGAGGCTTTTACCCACAGCGCCACCCGCGTCCCATTAATTGTATATGTAATTGTATATGGTCCATTAAAAAGAAATCTAATCATTTCTAAACCAAGGTCCTTGCGCACACCTTGCTTAAATCTAAATGTTAATATCAGTGGATACATCAAGATTAGAGATAGTAAAGAAGCATGGTCTTTCAACTCCAGTGTTTTGAAATAGCAGCTGGCTGCTCTGGCTTGCTCTATAATGTATATAAACATACTCTTTCACAGCTCTTTCAACTGATGAGAGGTCAGAACAAACTCCACTGCAGTTTGCCAGTGGCAATAGCATGCTTGCAGATGTAGCCTTTTTCAGTGAGCTGGGATTTATGCTTCTTTCTTTTGTTTGTGAAATCTTCAGCTTATAGCCCTTTGTCAAAGGATGCCTTGAGCTATCTTGTTGAGGTGTGTAAGTTCTAAAGAGAATTGGCTGCATTTAAAACGTGGGGACAGCTGTAGTTTGTTCTGCCTGCCTGACTAAGCAGAAATCATTTTCATTCCTGGATGTTTCTAGTTCTCTTTCCTTATCTCAGCAAGCAGACTTTCATCTTTCAGTGAAATGTAAAAGTCTGCTACTAAGAGGGGTATTCTAGTTGATCAATCAATACCATGTGTATAGCAATTACACAGGTGGAGCAAACCTAACCTGGAGGTTTATGTCCTGCACATGTGGTTTATGTGGAAGGCTAAGATCTGGTGATCCATATAGGAACTTTTTTGCGGCATTCCTGTGGAATCAACATTGTTTGGAAAACATTAATTTGTGAAATAGATCCAAAGTCTGTTTAACCCAGCGCCAGGGAACCTGTGGCCTTCCAGAAGTTGCTGAATTGCAACTCATACCATCCCTGACCATTAACCCTGCTGGTTTAACTTTGTGAACATAATTCTCAGAGTTTGATAGGGGAAAACAACCTACCTGGATCTGTTTTGTGAACATGAGTATATGTTCTTGCTCCAAAGACAGAAAACTTTCTGCTTGAAATAAATGGTACTTTTTGAAAGCTGTTGTATTCAACTTAAAATCCTGATAAATGACCGTAGTAATTTTCACAGGCTTTCTTGAGATTCTCTTTTAATAATGAATATATTTTATCCATGACCTAGTTTCATATTATTATTTATTAAATGTATTAATCATTTGTTACCTAAAATGTCTGCAAGTGACTTACATTTCAAAACATATACACAATACATTGTACTGTAGGCAAGGGGGAAATGTTTCATGCAACATATAAAAACTCCACCCCCAGTAACAGCTACAGGAAGCTTTGGTTGTAAACCAAACTCAACTGAATTTATCAAAGGCCTGGGTAAATTGTCTCTTAGACTGGGGCTGAAAAGATTTCAGTGAAGGTGCCAAGCAGGCCTCCTCAAGAGAGCATTCCACAGATGTGGAACCACTATTGAAAAGGCCGTCTCCCTTTGCCACCACCACCTTCCAAGCCTCCCTCAGAGGAGGGACCTGGAGAAGGGCCTCACATAATGATCTAAGGGTCCAGGTATGTTCATTTCTGGAATGCCTTTCCCAATAATATTGGGCTCCTGAACCATAAGGAGTATTAAAAGTCAAAACCAGCACTTTGAATTGGGCTCAGAAGCATACAGGCAACCAATTTAATGTGAACAGAATTGGTGTTCTCTTCTGTTCATCTTAAACCTGTGAGGCTGCAGTAACCGAAGCTTCCAAACTGTTTTCAAAGGCCCCATCCATCAGTTGGAGGGCAAAGTGTTGTACTTTATTAGAACCACTATAATCCACCTTGAAAATGATTCAGGTGGAAGGCTTCATATATATATATAGAGAGAAATTGTCAAAACTTAGTAGAGCTCTTGATGAAGCTGCACACAACTTCAGAGACCAATTCAGTTCATTCAAAACTCAAGGGAGAATAACCTTAATAGTAAATGTGTTTTAGTATTGCTTTTTGGTAGTTCACTCTCTGCTCTTCATTACTGGAAACTAATGGTATCACCTTCCTTGTTATGGGAAGGGTTAGTCTAATGCAAACAGTTGTAGTAAATGAAAGAGAAATTGTGGCTCTGCGTTTAAAGTTAACAGTATTGAATATGGTCATAGTATAGCAACCATACATGCTGAGCAGACTTTACAGAAAAGTAGAACCAATTGATAATGTCCATATTAAAGACCCAAAGCAAAAAAAATAAAAGTATTGGGGGTGATACTTTATAATTTGGCCGACTTATCCAGGTGGCTGTGGCCAACATGTGATACCCCTTTCTTATGTGACACAGGCACTCCTGGAAGAGAGTAGAAGAACCCACTAGCTTATGTGTGGCATAGGCATGCCTGCACTCCTTCCTACTATTATGCGCAGAAGACAAGATCCCTGGCCATTGGCCATTCTTGCTAGGGCTGATAAGAGTTGTAGTTAAGCAACATATGGAGGGCTAAGGGTTCCCTACCTCTGACCTAATACCTCAGACTTTAGGTGAACTTGTCAAAACAGTTGCCCATCCCTGGCTTGGCGAAACAAGGCATGCAGTCCTCTTAACTATGAACTGTTGTCAGAATCCCTCTATATTCTAACAGCATAGTTGCTGTAAACATAGTTATTTGTAATTTAAGTTCCACTGCTCTGACCAAATCTTCCAATGCCCTGATTTTAAACATGTTTATTAGAAGCAAATCCCAGTGACATTATGGTGGTTCTTTGGAACAATAGAAGTGTGACATAACCTAATAGTCTTTACCTAACAGGAACAACAGTTCTTCACCTAATTCCGTGAAGACTTAAATGCTTTATGAATAATTTTACAATTTTATAAGTATTTGTAACTTCATAGGTGCTGTAGCTGTGCTTGTGGAAAGTGTGCAGGAGGGTTTTCTTCTTGAGTTCTTGCCACTTAAACCACCTAATTGTAAATTTGCTTTGTTTCAGAGATGGTGGAACCAGGACAAGATCTGTTGCTTGCTGCTTTGAGTGAGAGTGGAATCAGCCCAAATGACCTGTTTGATATTGAGTCTACGGATATGGGTCTTGCAACCCCAGCTCCAGCTGTTCAGCAGGTTGATAAACCAAAAACACTTAAATTGCTTACTGTAATAACCTTTTGAGCTCCCTATTCTTTTCAAGTACAATGCTGATACTGGGTGATTGAAAAGGGAAAATAATGATATTTTAAAAGTTACCTATTCTACTCTAAAACAAAGTGATAGCTTGGATATGAAGCAACATGGCTGTGGAATAAGTGTGCCTAACTTCAGTTTGGGTGCAAACATTGTATCCTAGCCTCTTGTACATTAAATTTGCCCAGTTCCAAGTCAATGTGCTTTAGTGTTGTGGCTAGAGATAGGGTGATAAAATATAGGAAATAAACTTTTCGGGTTATGTGCTGCTCCTAGTGGTAGAAAGTTTGGGAAAGTTTCTCCTGTGACATTGTAACGTGTATTTCTGCCTGTGGTGCTGCTTACGTCTTGCAAAATTTTAAGCATTTAATAATATCAGATCCATCACCTGGTCAGTCTTGTCTTCCAAATTAATTGCAATAACCTAGCCTCATTTAAGCATTTCAATTCATGCCATTGAAGTCATATGGAGAGAGACTGTGTGCTTTCCCACTCTTGCTGCTGTGCCCTGTGCTGCCCTCCTCTTGATACTGAGGAGGAGATGTGTGTAGGCTAATGGTGTACGCTATAGCATTGTTTCTCAACTGGTGGCCATATGGCCCCCTGGGGCCCCCAGGTTATTTCAAGGGGGTCACGGGTAAATGGGGGGCCATGGCACAAACAAAAGAAAATAGAAAACAAGTAGCGTGAACAGAGAAGTGACCATGCTTCCCAGTGGATGGATCGCCACACGTACTCTATGGCAGCATTGCTTCCACTTCTCCTTCCCACTTCCGCACTCCACTACTGTTTGCACCAAGCTGTCCGGTAGGACAGGAGGGCCACAGGAAGGAAACAAGATCAGAAGTGAGCCATGGTCGGAAAAAGGTTGAGAAACACTGAGCTACAGCACTGCGCTTGCATGGAGACTGCAGGGTGAGCGTGCAGGGCACCACTGTCACTCCATATAGAAACTCCGTCGCAAATGTCTGAAGAGGACTCGTACAATCACTATATAAAAATATGTGTTGTCATCTAGACACTGCATGAGGTCACAGTTGTCAGTGTTTTTCATTTTTCAGAAGTATATGCAGGAGTATCTTGTGTGGAATATCTGCATACGTGTTGTGAACACATATTGCATGTCTGCACATACAGTATCATCTTTGGGATATATCTAAGAAAAAAAGCTCTCCTCCAACTGTCATTTGGTACTAACCCATTCACTCAGGTTGCAGAGCAATTTCATTGCTGGTTGAGAGACCAACTGCCTTTGGCTTCCTCTTGACTGTAGACTGTATTAAATAGATAAATAAAAAGGCAAAGCAAGTGAGATGCTTGTCTTAATTGAATGTTGTTTCCAAGATATGTTACACAATGTGATTTTATTCTCTCTGTCTTTCTTTAGTCAGCCCCAGTTAGTGCCTTAGAACTGGGCATGGAGACTGAAGCATCACTTGCTGTTAAAACAGAACCACAGACTGCATCTTCTCCAGCTGTACTGAACATCAGGGTAAGACACGTAAAGCCTTAATTACCGTATTTTTCAACCTATAAGGTGCCCCCTGTTTTGGGGGACTCCGATTTAAGAAAATGGGGGGAGATGTATCCGTGTATAAGATGCCCCCAAACTTTTGACATTATTTTTAGGGGAAAAACCTAGTCTTATACACGGAAAAATACGGTAAGTATTTGAGTTGGAAATTTGCCTCTGATGGAATTGATTATGCGAAGAAAGAAAAATGAGTAAGCACAAATTTCCTGCAGATACCTTGTATCACAGAATGGTTTGAGCTGTGAAGAAACAGTTTTTTCTATGGGAAAGGTGTTAAACTACAATGTAGAATTCAGTGTTCATTGTCTTGCATATCATGCTGATTCATGTATATATTGTATGGTTAGGGCCAAATCTATCTTGGGGAGGCAGTTTACTTGAGTATATTTGGAACCCTTAGTATTGTATATGGTGCTTCTTAAGACTTGTTGTACTAAACAGGTCCCAAACTGCCCACACCATCAACATTGTATAATGCACTGTTCTTGATCTGTGAATGAAAGCCCCATCCACTCAGAACAAAAACATTGGATGCCACCCACTATTAAAATGACAGCTCAACAAAAAAACTAAATAGTAATTTGGAGGCGGGAATCCAGGAAAATGTCTTTTAAAAATTACTTAACTTTTACCTAAGTTAGGAAACTTGCATAGGGTAAGTTGTGTTGAGAACTTTTCTGATGCCCCAGAGTTAACTTAGCATGTGTTTTTAAAAACAAAAAACAAAGCTTTATAAGTACCTCATCTTAATTCCCTCCCTACCAACTCACAGTTGCTCACAGTTTCTGCATGCCATTAAATTTTTTTTCATTCTTGCTGCATTGTCGGCCAACTCCTGCCTGCAGAGTATATATCTACCCATTTCCTCCATTCATTGCTTTCATTATATTATTGCAAGCACTACTTTTTATTATTAGATATTATAACCAAATTTCTAAAAAAGATAAGATTTTATACAAACACTTCTGTCTCGCCCAGCTCAAGCAAACAAATGAGACCCTGCTGTGAAGTCTGAAGTTGAAACCGGAACTATTCAGTTTTACGTTTTTGCTTTCACTTGCAGGCCAAGACTAAATAAGAGTTTTAAGTTGGGTTTTCCAGCAAACGGTAATGATCTTTCTGTTCTTTCTGTAGCAACCACCATCAACTACAACCTTTGTGCTGAATCAAATAAACCAGCTTCCTACTCTGGGAACTACCATAGTAATGACAAAAACAACCCCAGTCACCACCACCAGGCAGACGGTCACTGTAGCAAAAATCATACAGACCAGCACCACTACCAGGCCGTCAGTTGCAGCGCCAGCAGTTCGGAATGCCCTGACTTCCACAACTCCCAAGGACCAGATCCAGCTAAAAGATCTGCTAAAAAACAATAGTCTTAATGAGCTGATGAAGCTGAAGCCACCTCCCAACATTGCTCAGCCGGTTGCGACAGCTGCAAGTAAGTGGCTTAAGAAGCTGACTGGATGGAGTATTAGTTTTGGGGGGACTTGAACAGAATAATCTAGCATGCTCATTGCAGACTCCTTAGCCATTTGTCTTTATGCTAGATCACCTTTCCTCAGCTTGGTGCTTTCCACAAGTTTTGGACTACAGGAACCATCTTCTCTTATCATTGGCCACATTGGCTGGGGATGATAGTTCATAGTTTAAAACATTTAGAGCAGGCTTCCTCAACCTCGGCCCTCCAGATGTTTTTGGCCTACATCTCCCATGATCCCTAGCTAGCAGGACCAGTGGTCAGGGATGATGGAAATTGTAGTCTCAAAACATCTGGAGGGCCGAGGTTGAGGAAGCCTGATTCAGAGAGTACCAGATTGGAGAAGGCTATGTTAGATATTTGGTATTCAGCCTGATTTCTTTGCTACAGCATCTTAAAACAAAATGGCGTGCAACCATAACCTGGACAGGCCAACTATGTTAATGTGACTCTTCTAAATAGATAGTAAACTTTGTAGCATGTAATACTTTGGGCCAATCTCTGCCAACCTGATGACCTTCACAGGCAGCACTGCTGATAGAACTTGTAGTCCAAAATGTCTGGAGGGCACCAAGTTAGTGAAGGCCGATGTAGGTGAATTGCTGGGCATGGTGTGCATTAAAAGCTAACCTGTGTCATGAAGTTTACATTTGAGTACCTTTACAAACGGGACTCTTGTTTAGCACGTATTTGCTCTGTTTCATTTTCTCTAAATGCAGACTGTGATGGAAAGCAAACTCTTGCAGAAAGATAAAGACTCCTCCGGGGGGGGGTTATTTCTGTGAATGAATAGACTCTTCTTAGGTGGCATAGAAGCACATGAATGTTTTCTTGGTTAAAAAGCATTTACACTGTTACCTGTCGTGAAAATCTCCTGTGAAAATAAGTTGCATTTTAGCCTTGCGTTCTGACTCATAAAGATGTGGTGAAATTGTTTTCTTTAAGTACACTCTGTCCAGGGGCCATGGATGTGACACATGGAAAATAAATTTCTGCAAGTCTTTGAACATAACATACACATCCCAGAATCATATCAAGTTATTAGTACTATTGCCATATTATTGATTTGGATGAAGAGAGAGAGAGAGAGACTGCTAAATTATGTGTTCATCTAAATAATCTAAAAATTATTTAGACCCCAAAATGTTGACTTTCTTCCAGAAATAATTGTAGTTTCTACAATGGTGGTAAATGCCACCAAATCAGGTAAGATAAACTTTGGTTTCACTGCTAAAACTGGGAATTGGGCTTCCTCTCTTTAACCCACCCTTCAAGGTGATCCAGATGTAAGTTTGATTTAACGGTGGCACCTGTACTGGTTAACAACCTGTTTAGTGTTGCTGTGGCAGAACCTGTTGAGAAACTTTTGTCTTTTTGTTTGTTTAAAATTCGCAGAAATTTACATGCTCTGACTCAGCATTCAACTATAGAGGAGATTTGATTGCATTCTAGAAAATTTAATTTGTTATATATTAACTTGGAAATTTTCTCTTTGTAGCTGATATAAGCAATGGTACTGTAAAAAAGGAGGCATCTACTAAAGAGGTAGCAAGAATATGGATAAATGACATGAAAATGAGAAGCTTTTCTCCTACAATGGTAGGTGCAACTTCCTCAGCAGCGAGGTATACATTGCTCTCTAACGGAACACTGCTCCTGAAAAATTTAGTTCTCTGCACCCAAAAGCCAAATATAGAAGCTACTGAAGGAGTGCCTGCTCCTTTAACAAATAAGTCTACTCCTTAAGATCTACTGAGGTCTTGCTCTGCTTATCCAGAGATTAGGGAAAGCCATTCTCTTGTGGTACTGTGACTTGGGAATTCCTGACCCAGCTATATTCACAGGTGCCTACAGCTGTCAAGATTTAGGTTTATTTTTAAAAAATAAATACCCCACCCCCAAATTGTTTCTGGTTTCTATTGGACCCTTATAATGATGATGGTGATGATGATGATTATGGAAACAACAATAACAATAATAAATATATTTAACCATCCATTTATGGCATGCTCTAAAAATATTTCCAAGCCAATCCCAATTTAATATTTAAATTTTAAATGCATACATACAGTGTCTGTCTCATTTTCATAAAAAGAAACAAATGAAATAAAGAGGTTTCTTTAAAGTATTGATAATCCACAAAGTTCACGTCCCGCTTTCTTCTCTTACCTTTGCAATGTTTGGCAAGCTTGCCGGAAAAGAACTTTAAAGCCTTACATTTATGCATCCAGTATTAGTTCAAATTACAATGTTAATTTGATTCATCCACTGGAATGCTTATTTATTCTTCTCTTAGTCCCTGCAGATTTTATTCCATGCAGATCAATAGCTGCTTGCAGGGGGGCCCTCTTTCCCTCCCGGGTGTGGATCCAATTGATATATTCTTATTAAATGTTGTTGTTTTTTTAAATGACTATGTCCAAATTGGCCCGGATTCCTTTTACTTTTTAGAGAAGTTGCTGCTTTAATGGCAAAATGCTTTAATGAAACATTTTGTTGTGAGGTCTTGATCGTGCCGTGTGTCTGTGCTCAATGTCAGAGCTCCCATGGCTCCCTCCAGAGCTTTGGGGGCTACTAGAGAGCGTTCCTGACACCACTGGAGCCTTCAGAACCCGAATTTTCCTTTTGGGCTTTTTAGAGAAGGTGCTTTGCCAGTGCTCCCTTCCCGCCTCCTCGCAGCAGTCGGGTTGCTCAGGATGAGCAAACCCCATTGTCCACCATAGGCCTGCAGCACACTGGAAGTCTGGCATAGCACTTTTAAAAGATAAGCATTCTTCTCTGTTGGTGTAGCAGAGTCTTTTGGCTCCATCTTGCTGATTAGTCTTTAGCGTTGCTGTTTCTGTATCAACACAATTTACAAATATTCATCTTTGCTGCAGAAAGTTCCAGTAGCAAAAGAGGAAGAAGAGCCTGAAGAAGAAGATGAAGAAGAAATGGGTCATGCAGAGACGTATGCAGAGTACATGCCCATAAAATGTATGTTATTCAACTGTATAGGTTATTCAACTGTTAAAAATTATTAAACTACAGTACATAGGTATACCAATATCTTTCTTGTAAGTAGATAATTGTTGTAGTGTGTATTTGTATATCTCCTACCTCTTTTCATTTGAAGACTGGGTCTCAACAGATCTCTAGATTCATTCAGCCTTCATTGGCATAATTTTGACAATAAAATCATAAGGGGGGGGAACCATCCATAAAAGATGTCACTGTGAACATCTGCCTTCTTCACTCTCCGCAGATCTCTAGATGTTTTTCGTCCTAGTGTTGCGGGGGCTAGAATGATGTAAGAAAACATACTGGATAGTTACACAAATGGAAGTATGTGCTGCCCAAGGGGAAATGCAGAAATTTAGGAGAGGGAATTCCTTGCATAGGCAGAATTGCCTTTGTGTTTATCCAAGGCTCCTTTTAGGATATCACTTCAATGGATTATTTCTTCAGGGCATTTTTGCCTTTTGGTTGAGTAAGCAATCAGCAGATGTTTGTTTCATGTGTTGAGTACATTTATGTCCTGCATCTTCCATCATGGAGCTGAAGGTGACATACATGGGGTCTCCCATCCAGGCATTCTACCAACTCAAACCTCATTAGCTTCAGCAAGGTGGCTTTATCATGTGGTCTAAGGCAGTGTGGTTGCTTTGCATGCATCTAATTTTTTTGTGGAGCATCTTTAGTCCCTTGCATTTCTTCAGGAGATGGGACTAGGCCTGTACCATCACATGTAAATCTTGCAAACAAGGCTGTATATAAATCATGAGTCACACTGAGATAGAACTCTAGTTTCTGCCCTTTACTTCGTAAACCCTCCGAATTCCTGCTGGCTTTGTAGATTAAGAGCCTTGTATTTAGAGCAGTTCTTAGCTTTAGTTTTATAAAGAGCAAATGTTTCCATTAGAGTCACTAAAATTTTTATCTTGCTGAAGTAACCTCTGATAGGATGTTGCCTATAATATTTGTATTATATTCTACAAACAGTAAAAATTGGTCTGCGTCATCCTGATCCAGTGGTAGAAACCAGCTCTCTCTCCAGTGTTACCCCTCCAGAAGTTTGGTATAAGTCTTCAATTCCTGAAGAGAGTATTGATAGTGGCTGGCTGTCAGCATTGCAGCTTGAAGCTGTTACATACGCAGCACAGGTATGTCATGGTTTCATGTTTACTCAAAACGAACCAAGTTCCCGTTCAGCTACAGAAGGTGTGGGGTTGGCGCGTAACTTCTGCTGTGCTGAATCTTTTATCTTCCTTTTTTTAACATTCTGCAGCAACATGAAACATTCCTACCCAATGGAGACAGAGCTGGTTTCTTGATAGGTGATGGTGCAGGTGTAGGAAAAGGAAGGACCATAGCTGGAATAATATATGAGAACTACCTCTTGGGTAGAAAAAGGGCAGTATGGTAAGTAGAGATCACTTAAATTGGGGGGGGGGAATGCTATGTAAGCAAGATCCTTAACTTTTTTTTTTGCCTGTATCTTCACAGTTGTGTTTGCTCTCTCCTAGGTTTAGTGTTTCAAATGATTTGAAATATGATGCAGAAAGAGATCTGAGAGATATTGGAGCAAAAAACATTTTGGTTCATTCATTAAACAAGGTGTGGATTTTTTTACTATGTACAGTTGAAGCAAAGTATTAGGTATGCTTGTGTGAGATGCACGTTATGTGAATGCTGTATATCTTAGACATGCTAAAACCTGCTGTTTATGGTTTCGTTGCCTTCCTGCCTAAGTTGCAATACTAGCACACAGTTGCTTAGAATGCCGCTATTCCAGTGCAGTATTATAAAATCAAGATGTTGGCGTGCTGTTAGGGCACTGCTATAGGCTTGATGAGCACTTCAGGATTGGGGTGGAGGGTCCAGTTACTAAAACACATGACAATTGCTTGAGCTTTCTTGAGTTTATTTGGGTAGTAATTTGCTTCTGAACTCTTCCACTGAAATTTGTAGTTCTCAACAAATTTAGTTGTGGTAAATGCTTCTTTAGTCCTTTGCTTTACAGCATTGGATATCTTGCTAGACTTCTTAATTAATTAATTAACATGATTAGTTTTATGAATCATCATTTACATGAGTCTCCATGTCTTAACTATCTCTTAGACATTCAAAGATTTAACAAATCTGTTAAACTTGCGAAATTATAGTAACAAATGAGTTATTGGCAACTAGATGTTAAATATACAATGAGAAAGAGTCTTACTGATTTGGGTGGAAGCTCTGCATAACATTGTAACAAGTTCTTGGAAAGAACTGCATTTGTGCAGGTTTCTAATTGGGAATGGACAGATCTATTTCTAGTCCACTTCTGTTTTGCATGTGTTCACTCATAAATCCACTCTGTTCTGCATCAATTGTGAATTTTCTTAACCACACTACAGTACAGTGGTACCTCTAGTTGCGAATGGGATCCGTTCTGGAGCCCCGTTCGTTACATGAGCAGAACGCAACCCGCGTGTGCATGGGTCATGATTCGCCGCATCTGCTCATGCGTGTGACGTCATTTTGAGCGTCTGCGTGAGCGGCGAAACCCGGAAGTAACCTGTTCCGTTACTTCCGGGTCGTGGCAGGACGTATCCTGAAAGAACGTAACCTGAATCTAACGTAACAAGAGGTATGACTGTACTCTTTTCTTATAAAATAAGCATTTTGGAACATGTTTGGGCCATGAACTTTGTCACAAAATGTGAACAAGTGCAAAAACTGAAGGATAACTGCTACAATCTGTGTATTGGTCTGGGAAGTACAAATCAAGTCAGTTCATTAAAAAATGTGTACTAAACAAAATCCTGCAGTATCCCTATTTCTAATAAAGAGCAAAGTTGTACTGAATGTGCCATACCAGTGCCACTATTCACACTGAATAAAGAAGTCTAATGCTCTTTGCAGGGTTGAATATTTGCGCTTCTTCCCTTACTATAGTGTACTGAATTCTGGGAGTTAGCCCACCTTTTTGCTGTCCTTTCTTTTAAGGAAATGCATTTTCCAGGGTTGTACAGTTACAGTTAAAAAGGGTATTGTGACCATAGATTTCAGGCAAAAAACATTTCTCCATGTGTCTTGGTATTCGAACTATTTCAGCAGAAACAAAAAGTGGCACAGGCACAAATTTGCCAAGATTAGGAACATTTCTCTTTTGAACTTTAGCTTTAAAAATCGAGGAAATGTGTATGAGCTTTGTAGGAGAAAATATAGGTATTAAGATCACTGTGTTGCACTTAACATTGTTGCTTATATTGGGTATGTGCATCCTGTTGCAACCTTACAATAATTATATTGATGGAAATTGAATGTTGGATGTACAAGTTTGTAAATGAAGTTTAAGGAACTAATAGTTGTGCCAGTTGCAGGGTGTCTTTTATACTAATATGGTATTTTTATTTTAGTTCAAATATGGAAAAATTTCTTCAAAACACAACGGGAGTGTGAAGAAAGGTGTCATATTTGCCACCTATTCCTCTCTTATTGGAGAAAGTCAGTCTGGGGGTAAATATAAAACGAGGCTCAAACAACTTCTTCACTGGTGCGGAGATGACTTTGATGGAGTTGTATCTTTTCAGTGTTCTAACTTGGTACAATAACAGACTCTTCCCATAGCTCTTTAAACCTGTGCCTGCACTCACTTTCTTAAGCATGTGTGACTTGCTGATTTTAAATTATTGGACTCTTAGTCACTTGGGAAAGACATGTGTCAAGTGTAGAACTGTTTCCAAGCAGTCAAACCTTTGTATTTATAATTAAATATAAGACATGGATGTCTAGTTAATTAATAAAAAGCTAAACTGATCTTTAAGCTGCAGTATTTGATTGACTTTTTAGCTCTTAGTTGATTGTCCAGATGGAGCACCTTTTCTTACTTGCAAAAACTATTGTTAATAAAAGTACAGTACTTCTAAAAACTGTATACGTTAAACATTGTTTTGAGGTGTTCCTCATTCTCTTCCAAATAGAAGGAATGATCTTACAAGGTGTCCACTGAAACATATGCATATATATATGTCATACCAAAACAACCAATATGCACATTTGATTGACTAAAACTTGTATGATTAATCGGCTGCTGTTGCAATCCTATCCAATTTATCTGGGAGAAAGTCCAACTGAACATAGTGAGGCTCACTTGCAAGGAGAAGGGCTTAGGATTGTGCTGCATTATTTATTTATAATTGGGTAACATTATGACCAATCTTTCTGTTTCACTGTAAGTCAAAACTTCCTTGGGAGTAAGATTATTTTTATTATTAATGTCTATTCCTTAACAATATGTTCAGATAGTATTTGATGAATGTCACAAGGCTAAAAATCTTTGTCCTGTTGGGTCATCAAAACCAACTAAGACAGGTTTGGCTGTTCTGGAGCTGCAGAATAAACTTCCAAAAGCCAGAGTTGTCTATGCTAGTGCCACAGGTATGTACTCTGTTTTAAATGTGGTGTTGTTGTTTTGTTACTTAAGTTGGTGGAAAGATATGAAATTTAATCTATTTTTTTCTCTCAGGTGCATCTGAGCCACGCAATATGGCATATATGAACCGCCTTGGGATATGGGGTGAAGGAACTCCATTTAGGGAGTTCAGTGACTTTATTCAGGCTGTTGAAAGAAGGTAAGTTGTTGACTCCATATGTCAACTCTTGTTGTTTAATATGCAGGCTATAACTGTGTGGTAGAGCTCAAGGTTTATATGAAAAAGATCCAGCATGAAAATGGTTATCCTCAGTAAGATGGCTCATGGGAATGGTCTGACTCTATAAGACAGTTTCATATGAGGTGTTATTTGTTATCAAGTCGCACATGGCTCTTGAAGATTTCCCTGTTTTAGGGGGACAACTCAGGGCTTGAATTTGAAGGCAACATTGTTTGTCAGAGGATATAAGAACAAACGTTTAATTCCTAGACAGAGGAGGGAGGAGTATTTCATGTGACTCAGAAATGAAACTGATAAATCTGGGGAGCTGCATGAAACAAAATGGAGACTTGCTGTAGGAAAATCTGAATTTCTTTCTAGTGAAATATAGTGAATTGCCTTATTCAAAATGCATGCTTGTAAGTAGAATACCTAAATGTGAAGACTATTCAGTTCAGTGCCAAACTTCCTAGAGATGCAAAAGCAGTTGTGGGAGGATCTTGTCTGTAGAGGTCTCTGTCAATGATGGCAAGTAAAGGACCCATTTCTACCTTCAAAAGCAGATACTGCATTGCATTCACTTGGAGGTTTTATTTTTTATAAAAGTATATGCCACCATACTAAAATATCGCTGTGGTATAAGAATCAGACATAAAACACCAATATAAATGGTCCAAAACAATTATTAAAGTGACTAGTCAATAAAGTTTTAATAGCTGCACAGGCCTGTTGGCATGAAAAGGTCTTCAAGAGGCGCCTCAGTCAAAAGTTGAGGGTGCTTGCTGAATCTGCTGGAGGAGTGTTACACAGCACGCGACTGGTGACTGCAATACAAGTCTCTCTTACCGTATACTGAAATCGGATGGCTCCAGAAGGCCATATTATCTAGTCCTTCAGTCACAGAGCAGGGTCATTTGCTCACCTGGACCTTGATTTCTCCCCTCCAATAAAAGAACAATCCAAGCCATAAGGTGTCACACTCAAGCCAGATGCAAATGCAGGAAGGGATCCAGCTGAGCTGAGAACTCACATACTGCAAACGTTTCTCCACTCAGTTGACATTAGCTGTTCAGGCACAGGAAGGGGGTGAGAATGCCTTCTGGTTCCTCAGTTGTATGTTCCCAGGAGACTTTCTTATTGGAGGCAAAGGCCATGTCGTCCATTGATGTAAATAATAGAAAGCTTGACAGATTCTCCCTTCTCATGTCTATAGTGTGTTTTTAAAATATGTTGCTTGCAACTCAGTCTGGTGGTGGTGTCATTTTGTGATAGTGCTTGAAGATATTTGTTCCATTGAAAAACCATATTTAATCAGGCTTTGATACAACATTAGCTTTCCCTAATAAATCCAAGAATTCTCTATTTCAAAATAATTTCCATCTTCTCAATTACCTTGATGGTTCCTTTCTGTTTGTTTGTTTTCAGAGGTGTAGGTGCCATGGAAATTGTTGCTATGGATATGAAGCTACGAGGAATGTATATAGCAAGGCAGCTGAGCTTTTCGGGTGTAACCTTCAAAATTGATGAGGTTCAGCTTTCACATCACTATGTTAAAATGTATAATAAATCTGTAAAAATGGTAAGTGTGTTTAAATACAGCATTTTACATCTTAAACTAGGCACTGTACCTTTTGAATTGTAGTTGAACACACAGACCCTAATCCAGACTGGTGTAGGGTGGCTGACCTGGTGGGTCCAAGGTGTGGTAAATGAATATTTGCAGGATGGGGAGGTAACTGCCACTCTTAAAGATGCAGTAGTGTGCCTGCTCCTCGGTTGGGGGTGGGGAGAGTGAACCCAGCAGTTTGTGAAAGCTATTGCCCAGTTGCACATGTTGGGGAAGGTGCTCAAGAGGGTGATGACCATCCAGATGTTCTTGAAGGATACAGATTATCTGGACTCACTCCAGTTGGGGTTCAGGCCTGAGTTAGGGACTGAGTCTGCCCTGGCTGCTCTGATGGAGGGCGGAAGGGGAGGTGCCACCCTGTTTCTCCTCTTTGATCTCTCAGCAGCTCTTAATACCAACACCCATGGTATTTTGCTAGGTTGGCTGTGTGAGTTGGCAGTTGGCAGTACAGTGGTTCTGCTCTTACCTAAAGGGTTGTATTAAGGTTTGTGGTGGCGGCCCTCCACATATGTTGAAGCATATGATGCCGTAACCTGAGAAAGATCCTTCTTGGTTCTGATGCTCCAGTTGGGGAACTTCTTCCATCTGACACATTACTGATAAGTTTTCATTATCAACTGAAGACATTACTGTTTGTTGGGTATTTGAAGCCTGTTAATTTAATGTTGTCTGTTAAGACTAATACCACTTGGTTCTTTAAGTAGTGTGTTTTAAATTTATTTTATTCTACACGTAAGATTGATATTACAATAATAATATTTTAAATAATTCAAATTAGTCATGAGTAACTTACCCCATTGATTTCAGTGCTACATGTAAATTCTCTGGATTGAGACATGCTTGTACTATGGAAATAAAAATATTTCCTTGAAAAGTTGGTTTTCATGCTCTTATTGGTGAAGGCCTTAGAAAGAAGTTAGGAGAACATGTTTTTAAATGTTTCAAATAAGTTTTATTTTATCACTGAGGTGTTTCCCATCCTTTGAAAATGCGTTTTTTTTACTGGACCTCTCAATGCATATTTGTAAAGCCTGTAAGAGGTGGCTGTCACTTGTCCTGACTTTTAAATATTCAGGTGTGTGTCTTGTACATCATAATGTAACTGCAGTCTTCAGAGTCAGATTAAAAGCACTAATGATAAAATTATTGATTTGAACAAAGTTACAGCGATCATTCTATAGTGCAGAAGTTGACAGGGAACCCTGGGACTCCTCAGTGAGAAGATCAGTGCAGTGAGTGAGTTTCCCTGAAAGACAGAAGACTCATTGTTGCTAGTCTTCTTTGGCAGTGTTTTATCACGGGGTATATTCTTGGGTGGGGATGGAGAGTTTGTGGCTCTCCAGATGTTGTTGGATTTCTAACTCCTGTCAGCGCCAGCCGGCATGGACAGTTATTAGAGAAGATCAAAGTTGTAGTCCAACATCTGGAGGGCACCAGGTTCCGTCTCCCATTTTAGGGTGTATTCAACTCATAGACGGTAACGCTGAGGTCCAGTAGTTATTGGCAGCACTAAGCACCTTAGAAGGATACATCCTTGATTCCCTGAAGGTAGCAAGTTAGAAAAGAACTGTGATAAACTGAAACATTCTTGGACAAATCATCTCAGGTTAATCTGTTACACTGTAGAAGTTCATCATATTTACTTATAGAAAAATTTCTGGTGTTCCTTTTTCAGTGGGTAAGTGCCAGGGAGAAATTCCAGCAAGCAGCCGACCTCATTGATGCTGAGCAGCGGATGAAGAAGTCTATGTGGGGCCAGTTCTGGTCTGCCCACCAGAGATTCTTCAAGTACCTCTGCATAGCTTCCAAAGTGAAAAGGGTGGTACAGCTGGCACGAGAAGAAATAAAGAATGGCAAAGTAAGTGTTAGGTTGGCCTTGACTCTAGAATGTTTTCAAAGCATGGCTTCATTTTCTCAGGGAAATGTCAGAGTGACCTAATATGTGTGGATGGGTGGGGTTGGATATGCTTTGTATATTTGGAAGAGCTTTAAACTGAGTGTCGTTTTCTCTCTCCAGTGTGTAGTCATTGGGTTGCAGTCCACAGGGGAAGCACGAACCTTAGAAGCTTTGGAAGAAGGCGGTGGGGAACTGAACGACTTTGTTTCCACAGCAAAGTAAGACTCCTGTCAGTCATACAAATCTGGGAGAAGTAACTTAGTTTTTCAGGTTCTTGGAAAATGCAGAGACCTGTACAATAAAAATCAATATAGGTTTCGCCAGCAAGCTTACTAAAAAATGAACATGAAGGGAGGGAGGGCTTGCTAAAGTGGAGGATGAAGAGGGCAGGCTAATCACCTGCACTTGGTCTTTCAATGCTGTTTTAAAACTGCAAATGTTGGAGATGTTTGTCCAGCAGCTGCTTTTTTTCTTCACCCCAAGCAACCAGAATTTCTGGAAACTCTTGGAATCCCAATGAGAGCGTACAGTGATTGAGAACAATAGGAAATAATATTACAGAACTTAATTGATCTTTTATCCTGAGGAAAAGTTCGTGCCAGCTCTAAAATCACTGCATAGCTGCAAGAAGTTTCTTTACTTTCCTTATAGGTGCTGTACATAAGTTTATGTATTCACTGGGTTGTATCCAGCAAAGTCATTGCATAAGTAGGGCAACCTTTGCTTCCACACCAGAGCATCCTCCCCCTGCACACCCCAGATTGCTCTGGTGTATTGGGAGGAACCCTGGGAGCAGACCTGAGGTGTATGTGGGTTGTGGGACAAAAAGAAGCAGAAGCCATGGTACTTGCACTTGCATGTATACTTTGCTGGGTATAGCAGCACCTTGTAGGCTGATTTTAAGTTAGCTATTTTTAAAAATCTCATCTCTGACTGCAAAAAGTTCTCTTAATTATGCAGCCTTCAGCTGCATCATTGTTTATAGAATCATAGAATTGTAGAGTTGGATGGGACCATGAGGGTCATCTAGTCCAGCCCAGTGCAATGCAGGAATCTCAGCTAAGGCATCCATGGCAGATGGCCACCCAACCTCTGCTTAAAAACCTCCAAGGAAGGAGAGTCCAACACCTCCTGAAAGAGTCCATTCCGCTGCCGAACAGCTCTGACAGAAAGTTATTTCTGATGTTTAGTCGTAATCTCCTTTCTTGTAACTTGAATCTATTGGTTTGGGTCCTGCCCTCTTGAGCAGGAGAAAACAAGCTTGCTACAGCTTTTGACAGCCCTTAGATATATGAAGATGGCTATCATAGTCTCCTCTTTTCCATGCTAAGCTTACCCAACTCCCCCAAACATTCCTCATAAGGCCTGTTTTCCAGAACGTCAATAATCTTGATCACCCTCCCCTGCATACATTCCAGCTTGTCAGTATCCTTAACTGGAGAACTGGACACAGTGCTCTAAGTGTGGTCTGATCAAGTCAGAATAAAGTGGTACTATTACTTTCTGTGATCTGTTTGCCTCTGGAGCTGTGGAAATTGCAATTTTATGTAAGAGGGGAGATGGTTTTTAAGGTCTTTGGTTTCTTAGTTGATTGGTCTTTGTTCAAGCAGCATATAATATAGTGTGCTTTCAGTGACTCTCACATGCCAAGTCATGGTCCTTCATAATTTTCTGCCATGATGCTGTACTGTGGATGATCTTCTTTTGAACAGTATTGACCCCAGACTAACCAGTCCCCATCTGATTCATTGCTGCTCTTGGTATGGCAGTTCGGACTGAATTGAGATTTAATAGCATCTGCCTGAAACAATTCAGACCTTCAAGAAAATACCACATAAACAGCTGCATTTAAAAATGCTGGGAGAAGAGAAATTTTAGGGTGCCCATTCAACCAAGCAAAACTGTTTTTTCTTTTTTAAATCTGCAGGGGAGTATTTCAGTCTCTCATTGAGAAACATTTCCCAGCTCCTGACAGGAAGAAGCTTTTTAGCTTGCTGGGAATCGACTTGTCTGCTCAAAGTAATAACAACTCTCCTAGAGGCAGCCCTTGCAAGGAGGACAAAATGAAGAAACGCAAAGGTACATAGTTGTAATGCTATTCTAATATAGTTAAAATACTGGTTAGAGTTTTGGGCTAGGACCTGGGAGACCAAGTTTCTGGTCCCCACTAGGCCATGAAGCTCACTGGGTGAACTTGGGCCTGTTTCTCATTCTAACCTACCTTACGGGGTTGTTGTGGGGAGTAAATGGGGAGAAGAGCCATGTACGCCACCTTGAATATTGGATATAGATGAAATAGGAAAATCTAGCAGTATTGGCAAGTAACTGTGTTCACAGGTGTGCAAGGAAGACTAATCAGCAATTGTATAGAGCAGGGAGTCTTGGCACTGGGTCACTGAAGAACTAATTCAAGCTACTGGTACACTGATTTTTACCCACACTCAGCTGCAAGTTCTTCCTTATTTGAACAGACCATAGTGTCTGTCTTCTGCTGTGAAGCTTTTTGTCTGAAATACTTACTGTTTGTCACTTTCTCTAATGCCTGAACTCATTTAAATATCAAGAGATGTGAAAAGCAAATCTCATTTGAACCACCCTTTTTGTAAGTGGTGCTCATTTAATTTTGAGTGTTCAGGAATTGGTTGCAGAGGGCTTTGCACTGCTCATTCTTACTATATAGGGACTTAATAGGCCTGCTGCACCACAACAAACATAGAACCTTCAGCAACCCCTGCTGTTATATATGCCTCCCATCCCAGTTACCACATCAGAGTGACCAGGGTCTTAAACTGTTTTGCTCCCATGAGGACCCTTCTCTCCAGCTCCTTAACTTTGTGTAAAATAATTATAATTGGTACAGTACGCGATAACAGCAGTGAAATATCATGACTTGTTACAGGAAAAGACTCCATACAGTTAGAACAAGGAAAGGAAAACTCACACACATACGTACAACCTTGGGTTTTTAACATTTGGCTTGTAAACTTGGCAGTGTCCTGTGAGGTGCCCTCATCTCCAGCCCTTTTTTATCAGTTCCAGTGAAGTTGTAATTTTATACTTTGAAGAAGACTTGAAAGGAAGCCTGTTAATGTGTAAGGAGTACAACAGGACCCTTCCCCCCCTTTTCTTTTTCTTTTGATATGGTTTTCCACCTTGTTAAACATCCATAAATAATAAAAAATCTACAAAGTCTTTGCTAACAACCCATAGAGAGAATAATGGGGGTAAATGCCACTCAGTGATAGCCACCTCTTTATTACCTTTCATATGAAAAAGGTGAAGAAATAAGCAGAGAAGCCAAGAAAGCACGTAAAACTGGCGGGCTAGCTGGGAGCAGTTCTGATGAAAGCTACAGTGAGTCGGACATCTCGGACAATGAAGAGAGTGATAATGAGAGCTCCAGGTTTTTAAGCTCTGGGGAAGATGATGACTTCAACCCGTTTAAGGATGAATCTAGCGAGGATGATGAAGATGGTGAGATAATAATGGGTATCATGTAATATAGTATTTCTTCTCAATTGTTGCTTTGTTGCATGTGCTGCCACTATTCACTGTAGTATTACTTTGCGGAGACTGAGTATAGTACCGTCACATTTTGTGGGGGGATTACGCTCCAGGGATGGCACATACACACACAAGCACATAGACTTGAACCACTCGCCATGCAAGCATCCTTACCTTTCTGGAGCCATCTAGCAAGTGGGCCTTGATCAGCTCTAGAATACTCTTGCTCAAGCTCTGGAGTGCTCTTGTAAGAGAGTTCAAGTTCAAGAGGCTGTTCAAGTTCCCACAAGATCTTGCAAGAGCCATGTAAGCAAGGCTTGGAAGCTTCTGTGCTGGGAAAACCCTGCACAAAAGATCTTTTAAGCTTTCTGCTTTCCATACATTTAGTTTGTGTGATTTCAGCCGGCCAACCTTTAACCACATAGAACTGAAACCGCACGTGTTAAATGTGCATAAGTTACAATTGTACTGTTTTTCATTGCTCTGATGCATAATTTTCATATTTATCCAGAAGCCTTTTTTCCTCCTTTAATGCATTTTATTTTTCTTCAGACCCCTGGCTAATTAGGAAAGAACATAAGAAAAATAAAGAAAAGAAAAAAAAGAAAAGCATAGACCCAGATTCCATTCAGAGTGCCTTACTAGCGTCTGGACTTGGATCCAAACGGCCCAGTTCTCTTTCTTCCACAGTAGTTACCTCCTCTACTACAAATACGTCTGGTATGTTGAATGTCCAGCTTCTGAATTGGCTTTTGAAGCCAGAATGCTCCTTCCAGCAAGGGAAACAACACTTTCACATTTCTAAACACCACCATTCCTTTTTTTATATATATGCTGCAGCTAACAGTAATACACATACCAGCTATGTAACAAGTCAGGATGCTGTTGAGAGAGCCCAGCAGATGAAGAAGGAGTTGCTTGATAAATTGGAAAAACTATCAGAAGATCTTCCTCCTAATACACTGGATGAACTTATAGATGAACTCGGTGGTCCTGAGAATGTCGCTGAGGTAGGTGCTGGATCTCAAGTAACTGTGGGAAGCAGAGCTGTAGTTTGAGGTGTTATGGTGTGCAAACATAAGAGCAGGAATTGCTACAGAACATCCACATACCTTAACATGTTTAACATTAAATGCAAATAAATAAAAATTTAATAAATTAAAACATTTTATAAAATAAAGCCTAGTGATGTTCATTCCAGTGCCTTTGCATTAATTGGCCTAGAGTCAAACTACCTTCCACTAATAACAGGTGTAGCAAACCTATTTTAGCCTGAGGATTACATTCCCTTCTGCGCAAATGTTGATGAGGACTCCCTTGATGAGGACTCCCTGTCCACCCGCCCTTTCTTTCTCTCTCTCTCTCTCTCTCTCTCTCTCTCTCTCTCTCTCATACCAACAACATGGCTGGTGACATTGTCAGTAAAGAAAGAAGGTATTGCCTTCAGTGATTAGAAGTCCAGAGTCTTGGATATCCTGAGCTTCAGATGATTATGCTTCCAAGTGGAAATATCAGACACTAATAGAAAAGGAATTGAATGGAAGGCAAAAGTTATTGGGTAGAGAAGTAGACTTGGGTGTCTTCAGCATGTAGGTGTTTTAGAAAGCCAGCACTACTGTCCTGACTTCCCTCTTTTGTCAAATAGGAAAAACCAAACAGTTGCAAAAGCAACCTTTTGTTCATAGAGAAGTTTTTAAACACAAGTTCTTCCATGTCCCTTTAAAAATAACTCACTGGCTTCTGACCAGTCACTATTTCACCCCAAACCCACCAACCCCTCAGTTCTTACTTCCATTGGAGTGAGCCTTCAGGTGTTATCAGGACACATGAGGAGAATAAGGGAACCAGAATTAATCTTAACCTAAAAGTTTGTTAGGGCAAGTCAGGCTTTGGACACAAACTCTGCTAGAAATGGGCAGCATGTTTAATCATCACAAGGTTTTTCTTGAGTGCATGTGCTTGGAAGTATTTAATGGATTCCTAAAAGCACTATTTAGCATGCTAAAACAGGTCATTCTTCCCAAGATGACAGGTCGCAAAGGGAGAGTCGTGAGTAATGATGATGGCAGCATTTCTTACGAGTCCAGGTCTGAGCTAGATGTTCCTGTTGAAATCCTAAACATCACAGAGAAGCAAAGATTCATGGATGGAGATAAGGTAACCATTTTCTTTACTCTACATCTGTTCTCAATGAAAGATTCATATAAAATAGATGGACAGATGTCAGGGAATTCTTGGCAGTATTTTGGTTGGGTCTGCACGACAGCCAAAACGGTCCTTGTCCTCTTCAGCAGCCTCAGCTTTTGTAGCTGGAGTCAGTCAGGGTCCTGCCCTCCAGGACAGGTGGAAAAGGCCTGCAGGTCTTCCAGGACTCAAAGCCAAGATGGTCTCTATCAAACAAGAGCAGAAGAGTAGCAGAAAACCTCTGACTCCCTTCTCGATAAAAGACTGTTAAAACAGTTACTTAAAACATTCAAAAGATTATTAAAGTTAATAGTAACTTCAGAGGTAAAATAGAGATAAAACACATGTAACTTCTGTTTCATTAAAGGTGACTTGGAGATCCCTTCTGCACGCAAAGAATGTGATCTAACTTTTGAATTACAGTCTCTTCCTACCAATTCCAACACATGTTCACATCCTGTCCTTAGACATATTGAAATTTTAAAATCCAACCTTTCCATTCTTACTCGCTTACAGAATATTGCCATCATTTCTGAAGCAGCCAGCTCTGGTATTTCATTGCAAGCAGATCGACGAGCCAAGAACCAGAGGCGAAGGGTACATATGACTCTGGAGTTGCCGTGGAGTGCAGATAGGGCAATACAGCAGTTTGGTAAGCAGTTTTGTCTTGGCTTTACTTGGAAATGATGCTTCTTTGTCAGGCACATAATGTTGAGTTTGTATCATTTGCAGTAAGAGAGGTTTAGCAGAGTAGCCTATTTTTGCAATGCTGCTAAACAGATGTGTGTAGGCTCTCAAATTACATAGTGTTCTGATATGCAAACTAGAGTTCAGTCTATGCGAGGTTTTGCACAGTGCCAGAAGATAATGAAACCTGACAACACATTGATTGGTACATAATGGTAGGAGTCTTCGAACAGAGTTTTCTAGTTCTGTCTAGTTTGAGTCGTATTTCCATTGCCACAGAGACAAACTATTGAACACAATTCAATCTGTGTCTATGGAAGAAGTGACTTGCAAGGCAGTTAAGTATTCACTTCTAAAACAGTTTCCTTAAAAAGTAAATTTTAAATTCTTGTTTCTTCACTTAGGGTATATCTGAGCCAAAATGTAGCTTCAAACACAAGCAAGATGAATCTTCATAGTTCAATAAAAATTGTTTGTCTTCAAGAGTTAGTCCTCCTACTAGCTCTAAGGATAGAATGATTCAAATTTGCTTAGGCCTGGTGTTGCCCACTCTGCAGAGAGTGGTCTTTCTTTCTTTCAAGTCAATACTATGTCCAGACTATTTTTGGCAATGAACATGGGGTTTGGACAAGTTCTGGTGTTTGTGGATTGTGTTCCCTTCTTGGTGTGTGGGGGGTCTTATCCCTCCAGTGTACATTTCCTAGGCCTGTTGTGCCTCATATGAACTGACTATGGGGTGTGGCCCTCATCTTGCTTCAGGCCAGGGGAGCTGATGTTTGTCCACAGACAGCTTTTTGAGTCATGTGGCCAGCATGACTAAACCGCTTCTGGCGCTACGGTACACGATGGCAGAAGCCAGAGCGCATGGAAACGCCGTTTACCTTCCTGCCGCAGCAGTACCTATTTACTACTTGCACTGGCATGCTTTCGAGCTGCTATTGTTGGCAGGAGGTGGAACAGAGCAACGGGGGCTCACTCTGTAGCGCAGATTCAAACTGCTGACCTTCCAATCAGCAAGCCCCAAAGGCTCAGTGGCTGAGACCACAGCACCACCCGTGTCTGTGGTTGTATACTGAAAGGAGGATATGATAGCAGTTGGCAAGCTATTTGCTATTACTGATTTTCACAGAGGGAAGTTTTTTTTTTCCTTGGCAGGCCTGTGTGGCTGTTTAATTTTAATTTTTTTGATCAGCTGCTCAATTTATTATATGTATTGTTGTTTTCATAGTGTTTTCTATTCTCCTGTTATACCCCACCCTGGTATTTTATGATGTGGCAGTAAAGAAATGTTTTTATAATCATAAAATAAACCTCTTATAAATTTGTGAGGAACCACAGAATTCCCTGGAAAACAGTTTGAGATGGTTAATTGAATCATGTGTTTATGTTATTGCTGTGAAGAACATGGCCTCCAAATATACCTCTGTTTTCCTATCCAATATTTTTGAGAATGGGTGGCTGATGCTGTGTGACTTGAGTGAACGAAACCTCTTTTTCTTCCTATCCAGGCCGAACTCACAGGTCCAACCAAGTGACCGCACCAGAATATGTCTTCCTAATATCTGAACTGGCTGGAGAACAAAGATTTGCGTCAATCGTTGCCAAACGCCTGGAGAGCTTGGTAAGCGGGTTGTTGGGTGTAGCTTTGACTAGGAAATTCACTGCAAGCGAGCAGATTTTGATTAAAGACACAGAAACGTGAAAACACATTTCTCAATTATTCCAGGTTCTTTTAAAGTTGAAAACAAAGCAGAAAACATCTAAGATTCTGTGGTCTAGAGAGTGGCTCTCGTATCTCAAATTGTGTGGGGTAGGGGTTCATTTAAGCAGTTCCCAATTTATGTTAATATGTTGGAGACTCAATACAAATCATTGGGTAGATGCAGGATGGGGAATCTGGCCCACCAGATGTTGATGGACTATAACTCGCATCATCTCCAATTGCTGGCTTTGCTGGGAGAAGCTGGTGGGAGATGGAGTCTAGCACCTTCTACAGGGCAACAGGTTTCCTATCCCCAGTATAGATTGTACTTTACTCTGCAGAATGAACAGGATCTGTCTTGTGGACATGACCAGGTGTTCAAAATGTACCTCTCATCAGTGAGAGGTAGATGATGAAGGGCTCTGTGTGGGAGACAGGGTAGCAAAGATCCCCCAGGGTGGGAATCTGGGGGAAGAAACAGAAGTTCCCGGGTGGGAGCTGGGAAGGTCTACCTTTTTGTATATGGTTAAAGGACATGATACAGTTGTGATAGAGGGTTTTTATATTTCCCCCCCCCCCTTGCCGTTTTATTTTTTCTCTTATTTTGGCTTTTCTGTATCTTTTATTATTATTATTATTATTATTATTATTATTATTATTATTATTATTATTATTAGTTTGGCTTTTATTGCATCTTATGTTGAAAACTTTCAATAAAAATGTTTAACGAAAAAACAACAACCCATCTTTATTAGCTATGGTCGTACAGGTTTGATGAGCCTCATTCTCTGACATACTTTTGGCTTCTTATGCCAACTTTTTGTAATATCTTCCATGCTCCTGGATGATTCAATTCTTAATCAAGTGGGCCAAATGTACCTCTCATCGAACAAAATTGCACTACCTTTGTTATGTGCTGAGGCACAAGCAAATTGGGTTGGATCCAGAAACAAGCATATCAAAGGGGGCTGGTGGAAACAGAATTTTCCACCCCCTCCTCAAGACTCAGCTTCCATGCGTGAGAGTTCTGCTGGAAGAAGGCACCTCTATCTAATTTTGAGAGTTCCCTTTGTCTCCTGCACTGCAGTCCTCTCCATCAACAGGTCCCGACCCTCAGAGAGGAAGGGTTGGAGACTGCAAGAGAGAGGAGGGAGTGGGAAAGTCCATTTCCACCAGCCCCTTCATTGTGCTTATCTCTGGATCCAGGCCGTTGGCTTCAGATGATAGGCATTATTCAGCGGATAACTGAAATAATGGTGAATAAAGATGTGTTAAGCATTTAGGAGATGATATATTATAAAAACAAATTATTGTCTCTTGATAGGGAGCTCTCACTCATGGCGACAGAAGAGCAACAGAAACAAGAGACCTCAGCAGGTTCAACTTTGACAACAAGGTAAGCGAGACACCTTTTGGATAAAGCAAGCCCTATCTTGCCTTGACACTTAAAAAACAATAGGCTGTTATTTTTGGGGGGGGGGTGTTTCTTTGCATCATTATCCTTTTCCCTTTTGGGGTTATAGACTCTGGAACTTCCCCAGCCATCCTGGGCAGCTTACGGCACATATAAAAACATAGTAAAAACATCAAACATTAAAAAACTGCCTGTATAAATTGGCCAGATTTTGGATGTGAAAGGCAAGTGTCCTAACTTTCTAGGGGAGAAACATAATACTTTTAAAAGAAGGATGTTTGTGTTTTATGGTGGCTACAATAGTTTCCCCCCACTCTCATTAACAGTATGGCCGAAATGCATTGGAAATAGTGATGAAGTCCATTGTGAACTTAGACTCGCCGTTGGTGTCTCCACCTGCTGACTATCCAGGAGAATTCTTTAAAGGTATATGATTTTTTTGAAAAAATACTGCAGTGATAATCACGTTTATCAGTGAAGGGAAACAATTTCATAGAATGAATTAAAATTATGTACTCTAATTGTTTGGTGAGACTATATGTACCTTTTCCTAACAACTAAATTCAACAGTTCCTTTTAAAATTGCATGATCTGTTTTCAGAACTTGGATCTGAGAGTACAAATGGTTTGGGTTAATTATGGCATTCCAGCTACAGAATTGTTGGGCCTTTGGGTAGTAGATAACAGCACCTCTTTGTACTGCCATATGACCTCTCTTGCATATTGAATCAGTTGTGTTAGTTTTTAGGGGAGGGAAACCATCAAAGGTTTGGTTACATTTCACAAATACTGATGGTACTTAAATTACCTTAGTAAACTAGTAAACAGCAAGAATGGAACCCATGACAGCTTCCCTTTGTTCTTCCTAGATGTCCGTCAGGGTTTAATAGGTGTGGGCCTAATAAATGTAGAAGACCGGTCTGGAATTCTCACGCTTGACAAAGGTACTTGCTCCTTTTTAATGTCTATGTAACTGACTTTTTTTTTATATATAATTCTGTAATGGCCTTGTAAGTCAACAGCAAAATTTGAAAGGGTTGTTTTCTATGAGTAGACCCATTGAAATTAATACATGGCTAACTTTGGTCCATTCATTTCAGTGGGTCTACTCTAAGCAGAACTTGGCTGGATACAGGCCGAAGTCTTCAAGTGCGAATATACAAATCAAAGCTACGGTTTCAGATAACACAGTGATCTGAAATTGGTAGTGTGCTTTTGGAGTCCTTTATGGCTCTAAAGGCAGAAGCCAGCATGTCTCTTTCCCTCTGCCTCACTGACCTAAGACAGAAGGGGGCTTGGGAGGGGGAGAAGAACAATTTAAGGCAGCTTTTATGGTTAGAGTTGAGGTTGGTGGGAAGAAACTGCTTAGACAGAGTTCAGGAAGAGTGTACCTCATACAGTTGCCTTGCTCATAAAATAATCTAGAATGCCTAGTATAACTAAGGAAGAAATACTACAGAGTGCAAATAACTTACTGAGCTAGAAAGGTGAGCAGCTGGTGCCTACACAAGGGGGTTATAGGGATACGTCAGCTATGACCTCCATCTGCATCTACATAATGCAGTTGGTAACCTTGTGATGAGCCATGAGACCGTGGAGTAGGTGCCAGACAGATCTGCCTCTTCAGAGAATTGGGGAATACCCATAATGTACTCTGTATTTCTCTAAACTTTAAGGGAGATTGTTTCGTGATTTGTCTTAATAGTTAACCAATCCATTTATGTAGGATCTTGGTTGCATTCATTGTGGGTGGATGACTTGCATTTATAGAGAGGGTGGGGCTGTGTGTACTGTGTGCTTCAAAAAATAAATTATTTTCCAAGACAGCTAACTTCATCAACTAGTTCAACTGCCAGGATAGTGCTTTTCCATTGATAAAACAAAGATGAAATAAAATGCTGTGTTTCTCCCCCATCCCCCAAAATAATCTGTCTTAAAGTGCTTCATCTCCTCTTGTTCTAGATTACAACAATATAGGGAAATTTCTAAACCGGATTCTGGGTATGGAAGTGCATCAGCAGAATGCTTTATTCCAGTATTTCTCAGACACGTTAAATGCAGTAATACAGAATGCTAAAAAGAATGGAAGATATGACATGGGCATTTTAGGTAAGAGCATGAGTTCGTTCGCACAACCTGCTATGCCAGGCTTTTTTCAGAGCCCACTTTCTTCCACTGCCAGCAATAGAGGCAGATGGAAACCAGCCGCCACCTCTTTCAGCCTCTCCAAGAATGAGACGGTGCCTTGAACGGATAGGAAGTGCTCCATGGTCTTAGTAGCAGCATGAGCCAAACAACTGAAGTTCTTCCGACCTGCTTCCTTGATTAGTCCCCCGTTTGAGCTCTCTGTCTTTCTGCCATTCCGGCATCGCATGCATAGTCACTGTTTCTTGTGCTGTTCTGTAATGCTTACTGAGGATTGCAGTGCCCCAGATGCCTGGCCTCTATCTCATGTCTCTACAGCACTGTTCATGTATTTCTTGTGATGGCAAAGTAGGCAGGCTTGAGTAATGCTGCTTTTATGTGCCGTGCTGCCTTATTTTCTTGAGAAATGCCTCAGAGAGTGATATGCTGCCTCAGTGGAGGAGGCTGTTCAGAGACTGGTGATTCCTCCACACAGGAATCATTGCAGACTTTTGTTCTTCTCTGTGTCCTGTACTCATATGTACCTTGTGACTCTCTTTCTTGAAGATCTGGGTTCAGGAGATGAGAAAGTGAGGAAGGCAGATGCTAAAAAATTCCTCACACCAGGATATTCTACCTCAGGACATGTTGAATTGTATACTGTAAGTTTCTTGGTTAATTGTTCACCTTTGCATGAGCCACTGGCATTTTTTGTTGACTCTTAAATGGTAAAACTTCCTGCTAAGCACCCTTTGACTTTTAATGTATTTTCTAGATAAGCGTGGAGAGAGGGATGTCTTGGGAAGAAGCAACTAAGATTTGGGCTGAACAAACTGGACCAGAAGATGGATTTTATTTATCACTTCAGGTGAGATTGTTCTCTGCAAACTTCCACCCAAAAGCATGTTAACTTCATTGGACATTAGTATATCTTGTGTGTAATAAAAACAAAACAAAAAAAGGTAAAAAAAAGGAGCGGGTGGATGCTGTGGTCTAAACCACTGATCCTCTTGGGCTTGCCGATCAGGAGGTTGGTGGTTCAAATCCCCACAACTGGGTGAGCTTCTATTACTCTGTCTCAGCTTCTGCCAGTCTAGCAGTTCAAAAGCACACTAGTGCAAGTAGATAAATGGGTACCACTGTGACGGGAAGGTAAACACTGTTTCTGTGCGCTCTGGCTTCTGTCACGGTGTTCCATTGTGCCAGAAGCAGTTTAGTCCTGCTGGCCACATGACCCGGAAAGCTGTCTATGGACAAACGCCGGCTCCCTCGTCCTGAAAGCGAGATGAGTGCCGCAACCCCATATTCACCTTTGACTGGACTTAACCATCCAGGGGTCCTTTACCTTTTACCTTCTTACAAACCTAATAATTTCTTAAGGTAATAAAGTAATAATACTTGACATTTATGCAGTGTATCTTTAAGCATTTGAAGCACTGTGTAGTCAGTATTTCAGGGGGGAGCCTGAGATTGAGAGTATGGTGGCAAAAGATGGATTTCCCCGGAATAACAGCCCCCTCAGACCAGATCTGGGAGCAGAGCTGAGGTTTGGGTCAGGAGGACAGAACTACGCTTGCATGTGCCATAAAGCTGCCTCCTTGAAATTTTTGTTGCCTCCTTACCTTCATCCAACTGTTTCTTTTTTCCTTCTTCTGGGGAGTGTAGTGTGATTTATTGACTGCTACCACAACGTGTGTGTAAACAAGCCACCAACTCTGCTTCTGTATAAAACAAATTCTGTTTTGCGGTTAGGGATGTGTTTCGCCATTGACAGGACTGTTTTCTTTTCTTTCTTTCTTTTTTCCTTTTTAAATTTTTTATTTATACTTTTCAAGTTTATACATTTCACTAATTTTATACATTTCACTAATTTTACAATCGTTTTAACATTTCAAAACTTGACTTCCTTGCCCCTTTCTGCGGTTCCTTAATTTTTTTAAAAATATTTTCTGCGTATCCAAATTAACCTAATTTGCTCATTTATTCATCATCTTTAAATATATACTCTTATGAAACCAGGTTATTACAATACTCCTGCCAATGTTTTTATCTGTTTACAATTTATCTATAAATGTTCAATAAACCATTTCCATTTTTTTAATAAAAAGTTTGTTATCTTGATTTCTTATTCTTCTGGTAAGTTTTGCTTCATCCAACACATTCAAAACCTGGTCTGTCTTTAAATAAATGTTAAATCCTGACAGTATCTTAAGTAATGCATACTGCATTTTCACAGTATTTCTCCCCCCTCCTTTTTTTTCTTTCTTCCAGATACGAAACAATAAGAAAACTGCCATCCTGGTGAAAGAAGTGAATCCCAAAAAGAAGCTTTTTCTAGTATATAGACCAAATACCGGAAAACAATTGAAATTGGAGACGTATGCAGAAATAAAGAAAAAATATAAAAAGGTTACTTGCTTTTTAAAAACAAATTTAAAAACAAAATATTTGCTTTCTAAAAACAAATTTAACTATAACATGTGGAAAACATTAAAATACCACATATGTATTAAACCTATAATCTTGTGGAAGGGAGAAACAAAGTATGCATGAATATCATGCATGAATACCCTCAATATGCATTCATTACATTAAAAATACACAGATCCTAGATGTAAAGAGTAGTTTATTCACATGACCCATAATTTGTGCACATACCCCACCCCTGCTGCTTGCCTCTTCTCACCTGGGCTGCCCTCTCACACACTGGCTAACTACCCATCTTATTTACTTCCTACACAAGTAAAGCATGCCTAGGATTGCAGCCATAGTCAAATGAGATGACCTTATGGAAATACTTGGGTGCTGAATAGTTGGTATTGCAATTAAATTAGGCATAATGACAAACCGTAATTTTGGTGTTAAATAGTCCTATTCTGCAGGGCCTTCTGTTCACATGTAGCATCCTCCCTTCCTCCCCCTGGCAAAATCAAAAATAAAAATGATTCTTGTTCCAAATCAGAGTTGGCCAGTTCTCCCAAACAAGCAAACTCTGATTTGTGCTTTTCTGCAAACCACCACACCTTCAGACAACTCTTGAGCTATGGTATTCTATCAGTAAGGACTGGGGGCTGCATGGGCAGGAAGAGCATGTGATCCTGAGGTGCCCTGGGATTCTTCTCATCCATGTAACATGAGAGCATGGTTTGGCCATGCATCTGAATGGGACCTGTAAAGTTACTCTTAATCTCAGAAATCAAGAAAGCCAAATCTGGCTGTAATAAATATGTAATATCTAATTTATTTCATTTTCAGGTTCCTTCTGACGATGCTGTGGCCCACTGGCTAGAGCAGTACACGTCATCAGCAGACACTTGCACCCATGCTTACTGGTGAGTTCTTGAAATGCTGCACTACAAAATGCCTAGTGTGGTGTGCTGGGCTTTTAAGAGAAAAGAAACTTTGCATGAGTTCTTGAAATGCTGCACTACAAAATGCCTAGTGTGGTGTGCTGGGCTTTTAAGAGAAAAGAAACTTTGCATGAGTTCTTGAAATGCTGCACTACAAAATGCCTAGTGTGGTGTGCTGGGCTTTTAAGAGAAAGAAACTTTCATGAGTTCTTGAAATGCTGCACTACAAAATGCCTAGTGTGGTGTGCTGGCTTTTAAGAGAAAAGAAACTTTGCATTTAGTGAAAGCTTCACCAAAGCGTTGCATTGGCAGCTTTTCCACAAGAAAATATCGAGCCTGAGATTTTGTCTAGTTCTAACTAGGCTTGAGGAACCTTCTTCTTCCAGAGCTAACTTTATCCTCTATTCTTGTCTGACTTGCGTGCTTGAGCAGCTCATCCTAGTCTATTGTGGGGCAACAATTTGTTATGTAAAATCAAAGCGTTATTCAGAAAATATAGTGGGACATCAGTATCCTTGTGTGTTGCTTTTCATTAAAAATTGTGTATATGTTAAAGAAAAGGACCTATCTTAAGTATTCCCCCTTCCCTTCCTCTTTCAGGAAGGCAACTGCAAAAAAGCAGGCCTGGGCCTGGTTTGTGAAGTTGGCCTGCGCTGTCGGACGTACTATGTCCTGTGTGGTTCAGTCCTAAGTGTCTGGACAAAGGTAGAAGGAGTTCTAGCCTCAGTAAGCGGTACAAATGTTAAAATGCAGATCGTTCGGCTACGGACGGAGGATGGACAGAGGATTGTAGGCAAGTCTGATAATTTGTCATTACCTTTTGGTCCATGTGGCAGTCTAACTCCTGAAGTCTCTCTAACCTTAAAAAGCGTACAACTAGTTTTGTGTATTGTTGGTTTCTTGGAGTCTCATTTTGCATTTTATTTTCCCCTCCAAGGATACATTATTGAATGTGCAGCATGTTTCTTTAGTGTCTTACATTGAGGAGCAAAGGGGCGGCATTTCATAGCCCAAGCAAAAGTAGACATAAAAAGACTGATGAGAGCATTTTCAGGATATTGCCAGAGACAACAGCTGGCCGTGAATTACAAGAAAACCAAAGTCATGGTTTTCTCAAGAAACTATAGGGCCCATAGATGGCACATAGACAACCAGCTAATTGAACAGGTCAAAGTTTTTAAATATCTTGGCCTTATTTCCCATTCTACGGGGCATGGGGAGCACACCAGAAATGCAAAATTCTGAGACGCATTTTCTACACAAAAAGTGGTAAACCTATACCATCAGTCCTGGAAGTGTTCCAAAGCTAAACCACTAGCACAGTTGTTATATGAGGCTCAGATTTGGACAGGCACTCACCTTGGATGTATGGAAGCTGTCCAATCAAAGTTCGTAAGGCAAATTTTCTGTGTACCACCAAGTCCCAAACGCATCATTGCGCCTAGAGGCTAATCTTCCCTCAGTAGAATTACGGATCTGGCGTAGGACACTTAACTATTGGCTTCACCTAAACTTAAGTCCCCCTGGTCTAATATGCCTAGTGCTGCAAGATTTTCACAAGAGCGCCTGGACAAAAAATGTCTATCAAAAACTTCACTCTTGTGGTTTATCACCACAACAGCTACTCACTTTGGGTTTTAGTAAAGCAAACAGTCTAATTTGTCAAAACAAAAAAAATTCCTTCCAGTAGCACCTTAAAGACCAACTAAGTTAGTTCTTGGTATGAGCTTTCGTGTGCATGCACACTTCTTCAGATACCTATCTGTAACTAGTCTAATTTGTCAGTGCCTAAATGATATTGAGCGTCAGAAAAACTTGGCCACAATAAGGACATTTTGCCCATGGTATGACTATTTTCCACCGTCCCATTTTGACTCTTTGGCACCCTATCTGCATAACCTAGCAATTCTAAAATGCAGACACACTTTTACTCTCGCTTCCATACAAAAAAACACTTATGTCCCTGTGGAGATGGCAGTACCGAATTTGTGGCGCATCCCCTTCTGGCTTGCACTCTTTATAAAGACTTGTTGAATGAGGTTATCACCCTCTTTTATTGTCCATTCTGGGTCGCCTAACCACTGCCACAGTGTCCTTTCTCTTGTCAGATCAAGATGAGGCAGGTGACAGCAAAGGTTGCAAGGTTTTTAGCTGGGGCAATTAGAATAAGATCCACTATTTGACTATTGATTCAAAACCCTAAAATGTATTTTATATAATTGACTTTTGATTTCTATTCTTTGTATATTGTATTGTTGTTTTATTGCCATGGCCAATGGCTGACGTAAATAAAGATTCATTCATTCATTCATAGTTAGAAGGTGGAGGGATGGGTGTACTGGGCTCGCCACAAGCCCTTGATCATGCTTAAAGTAACCTTTTCTAATCATGCCTCTGTCCCCTAAATGAGGTAAAAAGGGAGGAGGAGTGGTCAGACGGCATTTCTTGTGGCCAAATTCTACTTAAAGAAGGACAATATCCGAGATGCACGGAGAACCTACCTGTTTCCTTAATATCTATGGTAGCAGCTAGTATCCCTTTGTGTGCACAGTATATGGGATTGGACATCAGTAGCCACCATAAATCCACAAAGCTGGTGATTGTCCTCAGAGTAAAAGATTTTAGGTGGTCAGTTAATTGAGGTCCACTCACTGCCTTGGAGTCAAGAAGGATACTGTAGGTTGCTTACAAGTAGCATGAATGTCTGTGAAATAAGACCCAATCTTTTCTGTTGCAGGCTTGATCATTCCCGCAAATTGTGTGTCTCCCCTTGTAAACCTCCTTTCGACATCAGACCAGTCACAACAGCTTGCAGTGCAACAGCAACAAATATGGCAACAGCATCACCCACAGAGCATTACCAACTTCAACAATGCATAAGAAAAGAGAGTCTTTGGTATTTGGCTGTACAAGCGTATCATTGCATTTTAAAAAAAATATCAGGGACAGATTCCAAAGAAATAACTTTCAGTTCCATCATGCTCTCTTAGAACTGTGCAGAAGTGGAGAGACACCTGAAGGGTGGTCAAACTGAAAGCCAAACATTGTTTCACAGTGGTCCATGTGTCCTTTTTTTACCCCCCCCCCCCATGCTCTTTATAGAGCTGCTTCTTTTTACCAAAAAATGTTTGTCCTACTTAAGCTACAAACCATGACTTTTTGTTTTTGAAGAGGCTTGAAAATTCCCAACCAACCTATCCATTCACCTTGTCATACAGTGCTCAGGGTTTAATGCAGTACATCGGTGCCATTGCTGCGGGAGAGGTCCTCAGATGCATGTATTTTGAGTTCATATTGTAGAGATGATATATATAATTGTGGCAACACAGGTCTCAATAAAAAAGTACATTTATTTAAAAAGCAGCATGAAAATTTAAAAGTTTGCAAACCACACATTCAAGTTTGTTCCCCATTTTTGTTTGGGCTGTGCATGTCTTTGGATTAGGCATGAGCAGGATCTCCTACACAAAAAGTCAACGTGGAAAAGGAAGAGAGAGACAATCTCAGTACAGCATTGAGGATTGCATTTTCAGAAAAAGGCCCAGCAATTGCATTTTCTGGCTTTCTTCTAGAGGTTATATATTTCAATCTGCAACATGTTTGTGTGCGTGTGTGATGAAAAACATCTTAAATTTTTAAAGTTCCTTTTTTAAAATGTGTTAATGGTGTTCCTAATTGTGTGCTGCAAGAATGGCTTTAAAAAAGCCTGATTTCTTTTCTTTTTTTCTTTCCTTCTCAAATGTTTCCTTTATCCAGTGAGGTTTTTAGGAAACACAAGTGCAAATTTACTTCCATTTCACATTACAGCCCTTTTAAAAAAAATTTTTGTTACTCAATACTTGAGCTGTAAATTAGACATGGGGGGGGGGAGGGGGGCAGCAGCACGTGAGGGTCCCGATGTGTATGCTGGGTTGATTTTTTCCCCCCGTTGCCCCGTAACTTGAATACTTTTGTTTATGTTGTAAGACATTGTAGAGTTTATCCTGGAGCTGTTTAAAATTGTAAATGTACAAAATGTGAATAGTCACTTATCTAAAAAATATGGGTAAGTTTTGTTTTGCCTATAATAGTAGATGTTTATAAAGAAAGTGAAAGGACAATGTTTGTCATTTTTCTTCTTGCTTGCACAGGTTGCACTATTGAAAATTTGAGATTGTATAAACCTGTCCACAGAACTGCAAGATACCAAAATCTTGTAGGTGTCAAATAAATAAAAAAAAGCTATTGTTCTAACAAGCAACGAGTCCTGTGTTTTTCATCAGTCTGTCACAATTCTCAGAACATTTTAGTGATTGAGTCATTAAGTTCACACCAGAAGGAAGCAGGTGGCGCTGTGGTCTAAACCAGTGTTCCCCAACCTTGGGCCTCCAGCTGTTTTTGGACTACAACTCCCATCATCCCTCGCTAGCAAGACCAGTGGTCAAGAATGATGGGAATTGTAGTCCAAAAACAGCTGGAGGCCCAAGGTTGGGGAACACTGGTCTAAAACCACTGAGCCTCTCAGGTTTGCCAATCGACTGTCTCGATCGGCGGTTCAAATTGTGTGACCTGTCCGAGTTCCTGCCAACCTAGCAGTTCAAAAGCATACCAGTGCGAGTAGATAAACAGGTACTGTGGCAGCGGGAAGCTTTCGTGCACTCTGGCTTCCATCACAATGTTCCTTTCTGCTACAAGCAGTTCAGCCGCATGACCCAGAAACCTGTCTGCAGACAAACGCCGGCTCCCTCGGCCTGAAGCAAGATGAGCACCACACCCCATGGTCGCCTTTGAACTGGACTTAACCATCCAGGGGTCCTTTACCATTTTTTTTAACCTAAGTTCACACCACTAACTCCCAAACACTTCCTAGATTCATGAGCATGTCTCAATTACTCAGGATTAAATCATTGAAGGCACTTGTGAACCCATGCAAAGGAGGAGGTGGCCAGTTTATCACTGATTTACCACAGTACTTGCCTCTTTTTCATTAACCTGCATTAGGTGTGGTTGAATCAACCATTTTCAGCATAGTGGCATTTTAAAAAGGTAAAGGGATCCCTGGACGGTTAAGTCCAGTCAAAGGCAAATATGGGGTTGCGGTGCTCATCTCGTTTTCAGCCCGAGGGAGCCAGCGTTCATCCAGAGACAGCTTTCCGGGTCATGTGACCAGCAGGATTAAACCGCTTCTGGCGCAACGGGACACTAACGGAAGCCAGAGTGCACAGAAATGGTGTTTACCTTCCCACCGATGCAATACCTATTTATCTACTTGCACTAGCGTGCTTTCGAACTGCTAAGTTGGCAGAAGCTGGGACATAGCAGTGGGAGCGCACCCCGTCGCGGGGATTCGAACCACCAACCTTCTGATCAGCAAGGCTCAGTGTTTTAGACCACAGCACCACCCACGTCCCTTTACAGCTGAATTAGCCACGCTCTGCAGTCCCTGCTCTGGGCTTGCCTCATAACAACCAGGAGGTATGTTCAAATCAGTGGTGACTCCAGTAGAAGTGGTGGGATCATCTAAGGAAGGTTCTAATTCCAGAAAGTAAATCTTGTTTTGGTGGGAGTGAAATTAGTCTCTGTTTTTTCCTCAAAGTGTGTGCCTTCACTTACTGAATTTGAGAAATGCTTGTTCACTTGTTCAATTTATATCCTACCCTTGGTTCCTAGAGTGATTTACACAAACTTAAATAAGACCAAAGTTACATGGTCAAAAAGGATGTTGGCTTTTGTCATAGCTGTAAAGCACAGATGGGGGACTTCTGGCGCTCCAGATGTTGAACTACAATTCCCATGATCCCTGACAATCGTTTTGGTTAGGGGTGAGATGAAGGTTCAAACCCAGCTGTAAAGTTTTGCTCCCTCCCATTTATTTATTAGCAATCTCCTCCTTTTAATGGACCTACTTGTGCTTTGCCAGAAGGTGCCGCTGAAGCCCTGCAAAGCTGGACAAAGGCTACAGCAAAAGCTAGCAAGGCACAACAAATAAATAGCATTGCACTGCTTTACACGGACAAAAGCAGAGGACCTATTCCAGTTCAGATACTGCTTTCATGAAACAAGTCTGCATTCTGGTTCTGAATTGGGGCTGCAGAGGCTGTTCAAATGCACCTCGTCCTGGAATTTGGTGTGTTTATGCAACCTTAGCTCTTTGCTCAACCCTTCTTGAATTCTGAAGAACTTCACAAGATGGCGGGATGAGAGAGGAAAATCCAAACAGAATTTAACAGGGGCATATGCTGTCAAGGATCAGCGTCTAGGATGGAGATACTTCTCGGGTAGGAATTGTGGCCGGACTCCCAGCTCATGAGTCCCAGCTGGAATGGCCCAGTGGCCAGGGATGATGGAAATGGTAGTCTTAGCAACACCTGAAGGTCACATGTCTCCACCCTGGATTCTGCAAGCGCCTCCTCTGTGGTAGCCCCGGTTCGGAACCTTCTCCCCAGGAGGTTCATTCAGCTTCTTCCCTCCTGTTGTCTTGGCGATAGCTGAAAATTACTTTTTTTGTGGGGAGGGCTTTGTTTCATAGTCTTTTGCTGCTTTTCCTGGTTTGCTGTGTTGATTCTTCTGGTTTAATGTAAAATGATTCATTTGCCTGTTTTAGTGTAGGTTTTAGTTTCACTCTGTTCAACTGCTATAACGTTTTACAAAGAGCAACATGCATGTATTTTAAAATATACTCCACTGTCTAAAATTTAATTTAAGCTTGCTTGGACAGCGTTTTGAGTGAAAGGGGAATAGAAATGTAAGATTCCAAGTTAAAATAAAGTCTTTGTTACCGCATAGCAAGAGATCAGGTAACTGCCTTGGAATAAATTCCCAAAAGGGTAGTCGCTATCTTGAAATGTGCAACCCTTAAAAGGTGGGGATGAGACCGGCAGCGACATAGAAGCAGACCTGTAACTTTCTGTGTGGGGTGTGAGAAATAGTCCCTTATGGCTACAATGCTTCATTTTCTGCTCTTCTCCTGGTTCTGTTGTCTAAATTTATTTATTGTCTAGAGTAGACAAGACTTTGCCAACATGGCGCTCTCATATGTTTTGGACTCCCAGTCCCATCAAGTATCATACCCTCAGGTGAAAATAAGGACATTCTTCACTCCTCAGGAACTGACCCTCCTTGATTCCCCATATTTGTGTGTCCCCACCCCTCTCAGAGCATTTCCTACCAGTAGAAGGGCGAATGCCACCAGCACTTCACCAACGGGATACCATCCTGAGAAAACCACTTAATCCCAATTTTATTTTATTCTTTGGTAGATTTACAAAAAGAAAAACACACACCATAAATAAATTTTGGAAAGGGCCAAGATTGGAGACGCAGGTGCAAAAAGCATAATAATCATCATCATCATCATCATCATCATCATCATCATCATCATCAAGCCTTGTGCTCTTCTCCCCCTTTCTTCCTGCCCAGGGTGGCCCTGCCTTCTGCCTTCTCAGAGCCAGTGTGTCATGTGGGGCTGGGTCTCAGGGGCAGTGGCCACCTCTCCTCCTCCTCCTCGTCCACTCTCTGGCAGCCACTAGGAGCTGCCATGGGGAGGAGGCGGCAGCACCAGGAGAGGCAAAGGGGTGCTCCCTCACAGTCGCAGTTTGGGATGGCTCATCCTTTCCCCCCAAGCTCAGCAGCAGCAGCACTAGCAGGGGAAATCGGGACCTTCTGGGATCAAATCAGAAGCCAGGATTGCTTTTGTGATTCCAGCACCAGAAAATCAGGACACTTGGAGGATATGAAATATGCAGAGGCCATGTTGGTGAAGACTCTTCTAGGAACAAAAAAGGAAGGGGAAGGTTTAAAGAAGGAGTGCAATCCACTAGGAAACTTCCTGTTTTGGATAGTAGACGCCTCCTCTGTGATTCGGTACTTTGCAACATAATGATTTGCAAAGATTTGATGCCAATTGTTTTGACAATCCCAGCATCAAAACGGCTTTTAAAATGTAAGCTGGGTTGTTTAGAACATGATTTGTGGGTGAGTTTCTGGGCTACAGCAGCCTTTGTCCCAGACCGTCAGCCAGAATGGCTGATGAGAACTGAGAGAGCCCAACAATCTCTGGCCTACAACTTTAAAACTTAAGCCAGTGGTGTCCAAACTTTTTTCAAAGAGGGCCAGATTTGATGAAGTGAAGGGTCGTGGGGCCGACCAAAGTTGTTGACCTTTTTTTTAGGATTGGAGTTTGGTTTTTTTAGGATTTTAGGATTTCACCCCAAGAAATAAATTGCCAACAGGGGTTGGATTAAACCGACCAACAAGCCACATAAGGCCCCTGTACTTTGGACATGCCTTGCTTAAGCATTTCACTAAATATCTATTTACCTAGAAGACTATACCGGCTCTGTAGTTGCACTTGGGACCAGTGTAAAACTTCCTTCTTCTAAGGTGGAGCACCAAATGGCACTTCCCCCAACGCACACCTGTCCTACACAATCAAGGTGTATAGTACCCAAGGCCAAGCAAGGTATTTTGGCACCCGAGGAGGAAAATCCCACAAGGAAAGCTACAGCAACCAATAATTTTGCTGCCTCCAACATCACAAATCAACAGCTTCTGAGACACTCTGTAAGTATCTTTACAGGTCAATGACACGTGTTTTACAAACTACTCAAAATAAAGCGTGCACCCACTTTCCAAGTCCCAATTTTCAGGAAACCTCCAAGCCTGTTATCTTTTGTTCATTTTAAGTACTCTGGCACAGCTTTTGTCAGAATCCTTTAGAATTAAGAGTTCAACAGAGAGACTCAGTATTTTGTAATATGCATCTCTTAATTTAACTTTATGTCAATCAGGAATTTTCAAACTCTGTGCCTTGAGAAGCAAGAGAGCATTTTCTTAGGCCAGTGGCTCATCTCAGAAGAGGCTGTCTGTTACAGCTCTGCATGATTAACTACTTCCAGGCTTCATTGCGGAAGAGAATTTTGGTCTATCCCAGTATCAAGTATGCATTAATCCATCCTGATACAAAGACCTAGCAGAATTGCCCATCCCTGGAGGGGGTTGCATGTTCTACATCTGCACAACTCACTACTCTGGACCTGCCTTCTTGCAAGCATGCCCTGTGGGAAGGGAGCAATAATTTATTTCCTACATTGAGGCACCAGTGCCAATGCATTTCCAGCCAAAATGGCACTCACTACCTCTGCACAGGATGGGACGTACACTCAGTGAAGTCCTAAGGTTTGCAGAACATCAACATTTCAAACAAACAAACCCTAAAGTGGACAAGGAAATGGCCTACATAGCCAAATTAAGAGTGAACATGCTTAGTGGCCATGGGATGTTGACTCTTGGGAGGATGGATGGAATGGGGTATCTTGAAATAGGGCATATATGCTGACTGGAACAATGAACAGGGGAACTCCACACTTCTTATAAATGTTAGGGTTGTAACCAGCTAAGTCCTACTCAGAGAAGACCCATTGAAATTAGTGGATGAGGTCCATTAATGTAAATAGGTATACTCTGAGTTGGACTTAGCTGAATACAATCCTAATCTAGTTTAATTCAAAGTATTAGAGAAGGGCAACCTAAAAAAATTAAGTGTTTTTTTACAAACTGCCCCTCCTATAGCCAAAATAAAGACCAGTGTCCCTCTCTCCCCTATGCTAGAAAGGCTGCAGAGAGAGAGAGGCCCGTGTTTTCATGCCTTGTGGAGTTGCACGTCAGTGTACTCCTTTGGGAAAAAGGTGTTTCACGTTATTTCACATTTTATTCACATTACGCAGCAATGTCTCACCCAACTCAGCTCCTGCCTTATTATCAATAGACCCAAATTCAAACAATAACCTTAAATGCAGAGACTTACTATCAAGCTGTCTCACGGTTTGACAAAGAATGCCATCATGAGAAATCTCTTCTGAGATGAGCATTTCAACTATTCCACTCCAGGAAGAACCCAAGCCATTTAAAAGAATACCTAATATGAAAAAAAAACACCTTTCAGAGCTCTTCCAGAAGAAAAAGAAATCTTTCTACAAAGGCCGTTGGCATCATCTGCTCAGGGCAATTCAAGCAAAGGACAGCAAGGAATTATGGAGGATAGTTTCTGGTGCCCTTCAAGATGGTAGCAACCAAACAACTGCCATCATTCCTGCCTCTAGCTGGTTCAATCACTATTCTGCAATATTTACAGCGCCAACGAATCTATCAGCTATGCAAAATGGGCCCAGTTATGTACATCTTCCAGACTGGACCCCAGTGGAACCAGATGAAATACTCTCAATAATCAGGAAGTTAAGATCAAATAAATCCCCAGGACCAGATGGGATCCCTGGTGAACGTTTTAAGCACATTCCAGATTGGTGGGTCCCTCTATTAGCCAACTTATTTACTTTAATTGACAAATTCGGGATATTACCAGATGTTTGGCTAAACTCCATCATCACTTCTATATTTAAAAAAGGTGACCCAAATCTGCCTGAGAATTACTGTCCAATAAGTCTCCTATCAAACCTTGGCAAGATGTATACCTGATATTTGGAAAAGAAATCTAACAAGATTCTTGGGCCTGAACAAATAGGATTCTGCCATGGCAAATCAACCACTGATCACTGCATAGTCCTTTCACACCTCACGGAAAGATTCAGGGAAAATGGGAGGAAGGAACTTTACGTAGCCTTCCTAGACTTAAAAGGAGCTTCTGACCCCTGTGATCTACTTTGGCACAAATTATGTAAAATGGGAATTGACCAATGCCTGCTGTTTTTAATTAAAAAATTACATTCTGCTACATTCTGTCAAATTAAATGTAACTCTAAAGGCGAGCTGATACAAAGTATAAATATAACCAAAGGAGTAAAGCAAGGATGCGTCTTGGCATCCCACTTATTTGACCTCTTCTTAAATGACCTGGCTCATCACTTTAAGGATGTAAATGGACATCCACCGACATTATGCCAACATAAAATAAAACTGCTTTTATACGTGGGCGATACTACAATTCTTTCTCATACCCAGGTCGGCCTTAGAAGATTTCTGAACTTGTTTTCTTCCTTCTGCCAGATCAACTCCCTGGGAATTAATTACGAAAAATGTAAAATTATGATTTTTTTCTCAAAGTCGTCAAATTGTCAAATGGAGACTAGATAATCACCCCACTGACCAGGTAAAATATTTCAAATACCTAGGGATATTCTACCAGTCAAATTTAAACTGGACAATACACAGGTGCCGAATGATCACCCAGGCAAAATGCCCCACATCTGCGATTCTTCATTTTTTCTTCCTCAGAGGCAACCGGATGGTCCCTGCTGCAATAAATATTTTTAATGCCAAGGTCCTTTCTCAGTTATTGTACAGCATTCCAATTTGGATACAAGCATTTAATAGAGAAGTTGAACAAATTCAAGCAACTTTTCTTTGTAAGATCCTTGGTGCCCCTAAATGCTTAAGTTACTTAGCCTTAAGTGTTGAAACCGGCCAACATCTGATGGAAACCAAAGCATGGCTGACTACAACCAAGGCCTGGCTGAAAGTCCACTTCAGAACAACATCTAACTCCTTCTTAACCTCTGTGCTTGAAGATTGCATTTCCTCTAGATGATATAGAGCAATTCAAGATAAAATGTGTAGTTTGGGCATTGCTCTCAAGAGCCTTGAAGCATGTGACAAAAGTTACATATTCCAAATAATCAAGCAGCTGCTCTACAACCACGAAAGACAGCGCTTGTTACCTCATATGCCAAGATTCTGTTCTCCGGAGGCCTTAGGTATCACCTGTGCCAAATATCTAAAGGATCTAATACAGTACTCCCCTCCCATTGAGGAGCCTTTATGCTCATGAGATTAAACGCTTTCCCTTCTGCAGTGACCAAAGGCAGATTCTCACATGCTCCATATCAAGCCTGTTTGTGTTCCTGCAACCAAGAAGTACCTGGCTCAATGGACCACATTCTCTTAGATTGCTCTTTACGCAGCAGACCTTGCCAACTGATGCTGAGCAAAATGTTGGACTTCCAGCCTATAACTCCGAGAAGAAGTCAAATGAAGTTTCTCCTGGCAAATCCCGGGACAAAGATATCACTGCTTTAGTAGCCTCCTTTTTAGCCACAACCTTACCCAAAAGGTTTCCTAACGATTCATCCTTTTGGGGAACAGGCAAGGACGATGCGGAATATCTAAGTGCACACAATCACAGTGTGACCTTATGACCCTCAACAACTTCACACTTGTTCCTTTTAATGATCCCAGTGACTTGAAATGTTTTATACTGTGATGCCAATAAAGGTATTTGATTTGAACAATAGCCTGATATTGGAAACAGTCCCTAGAAATCCCCATTGAAGTCTACTTAAATAGTATTTGGAATGTGGCTCTACCAGAACGCCTTACTCACCACAGAAGGATAATTAAAGGCACTTCATGGATGGAAACTTTTGGTGAGATGCCGACTTCCTTTCTTTTCCTTTATAAATGAGACGGAAAATATTTTAATTCCACCATCATCAGCACAAGAATCTCTGCGGAGAGGCTACTTGAATACATAAATAAATGTATTGCTTGTGTAGTATGTATTGCATATGAAACTTAATAAGAATGTACCATTGGGCAAGTTACTGTAGTTAGAGGTTGTTCTTGTATTTAAATGAAAAACAATAAAAATTATTGGGGGAGGGGTGAAAGTCGCCTTCCTATTTAGATAACTTTTTTAGCTGCAATAATGCATCAAATTCCCTCTCTCACATACCCTCCAATATCTCTCCAATGAAAATAGGGACGTATCATCATCATCATGTGCTTTTTTTCTAAAAAATGTTTAGGGGTACTCTCAATTTCCTACTCATACAGTGGTACCTCGGGTTAAGAACTTAATTCGTTCTGGAGGTCCATTCTTAACCTGAAACTGTTCCTAACCTGAAGCACCACATTTAGCTAATGGGGCCTCCCGCTGCCGCTGGAGCACGATTTCTGTTCTCATCCTGAAGCAAAGTTCTTAACCCGAGGAACTATTTCTGGGTTAGCGGAGTCTGTAACCTGAAGCGTCTGTAACCCGAGGTACCACTGTATTGAAATGCTGCCCCTCAATGAGGCCAAACTTAGATTCACAAAATGTTTAGGGGTATGCGTCCCCCTAGAAAAAAGCACTGATGATGATGATGATGGTACTATTTATATCGTGTCCATCTGACTAGGTTGCCCCAGCCACTCTGAGCAGCTTCCATCATATATAAAACATAATAAAACATTAAACATTTTTTTTTAAACTTCCGTATATACAGGGCTGCCTTCAGATGGGAGTTGGATAAGAAGAGGCAACTGTTAGTTCTACAGGTCATGGGAGCAACCTGAAGGAAGGGAAGAGAATGCAAGTCACTGCCGAGTTTTCTTGACAAGAAGCACCTGGGCAAGGGGGTTGCAGTGTTGGGGAGTTTATTGCTGCTATCACTAGGGTTTGGTACTGTTTGGTAAATTAACCAATTAAATGTTGGCTGGCGGGGAGCCATTTAATCAAGGAGGGCTAAATTAAATTGATGAGGCTGTCTCTATACTTAAATGAGGACACACTATTATCTTCTTAAGTAGATTTGGTTTAGGGGTGTTATTGCACAATCACAAGATTGCACAATCACACACCATTTAAATAGCAACGTCCATCAACTCTGGGGGGACCTTGCCCCCTCATATATTTTATTGGGGAGCAAAGGGACCTTAGCCTCTAGGAGTTGGTTCCTACGACAGGAAAATGTTAAAGATGACTTCCCTTTTAACTATAAATAGCAACCTAAAAACAAAACCTCCCTTAGAACTCCATCAGCATCTAGCAGACAAAATGCATATGTTAAGATTTTCAGTATAATCCTATGCACTTACTTAAAAGTTAGCCCACTGTTTCCATAGTGTGCATGTGCTCAGAACTGCAGTTTTATGTGGGCAACTAGAGTGCAATTGTATGCTTGTCCACTCAGAAGTAAGCCCAACTGAGCAGATTAAAATCATTATTAAATATATATAAACACACCTGCCTGTACCTTATGTTCATTGTCAAAACACCAAGCTGAGGGCAGGTGGTATGGCAGGGATTGGAACCTGTGATTCTTCAGGCGTCTAGACTCCAGCTCCCATCAACCCCAGCCAGCATAAGCGAGAGTCAGGGATGATGGGAGCTGGAGTCCAAGAGCATCTGGAAGCCTTCAGGTTTTCTGCCCCTAATCTCTGGTGTGCTCTTCCCATAAAAACTCATCTGACACCTGTTTTTGTGGGGTGGTTGTATTGGTGCCAGATAAACCCCTTTTTGTTTCCTCAGGTCATTTCAAACATTAACTGAATTTGGTTTGATTCTGTGTTTTTAATAGTCTGTTGCTTTACAACTTTCAGATTCTGCTGTTGTATTTTCTTGACTTACTTCTTTTATTTTATTGTAAGAAAAGGCTGCATTCTTTTTATTCTAAGAAGGCATGGGTGTAGGACATCATACACTTTTGTGGAAACACTTAATATTACAAGTATTCCCAATTTTGCTTTTAAAAATATTTTTGGCAGTTAATTACATGGATTACTTGTTCACCTTGAATCTCTCAAGCAGAAAGAACGTTGGGAACACCCTGAATACTTTTAGTTGGGGTCATTTGCCTCGTTGACCATTTCACATTGTCCCTTCAGGTTTCTAGCCTGTGGAAAGAAGGGTGAGCCAGGGACCCTTCGACCCTCTTGCTTGCTTGACCAATGTTGTGATTTTTTTGTTCCACTTGCGGATTAGCTTATGATTTTTCTGTACTCTGTTGTACATGTTGTTATGAAATGCTGTTCACTATTTCAGGGGCCTTTGGGGTTCCAACGTGGTATGTAAATAAAATGCAATAATAATGAGTAATAAATCTGCCCTTGAATAAGATAGCTGATATAGAAAGAGTAGGTTTTAGAAAAGGGGTGTGTGTGATAAATTGGGGTGCCTTCTAACACACTTAAAAGTTAATTATTTTCAATATAAATATAAATACTGCTGATGGCAGGCACTGTCTGAAGAGCTTTCTCTTCATACTTGCACTGGAAGGAACTGCCACTTCTAAGATGTTGCCACACAAATATAAAGCTCTTTTTAAAAACAAAACAAAACAAAAAAGTTTTTCCCTCTTCAAAACTATCATATAAAGCTACCCCCCCTAACTTTTAAGATCTTTGTAGGCCCTGCTCTCTGTGTCCCTGTCAAAGAAAGCAAGGGAGCTAATCACCAGGGGGAAAGGTCTTTTTGGTAGTGGCACCCCAGCTACAAAACGGCTTCCCTGCCACTATCCTTGTTGTCTTTTCTGTGCCAGGTGAAGATCTTTAAATAACTTATACAGTCTGGGCCTGTTTTATTTTTTTGGGGGGGTTGAGTAGTTGTTGTCTTTTGCTGCATGCATGTAGCTTTTGATTTTATAGGGTGGGGGGAATTGCATTTAATTTTTTAAAATAAATTCTTTATTTTAAGGTGACCAAAGAACTTTGTTACTGAATGGCATACAACTATGGCAGATAATGAGTCATATGAAAATATATGTAAATTTAATTAATATTTATTTGATTAAATGGCAAGAGATTTCTGTGATCTGCTGTCAAGCCTACTTGAAAAAGCTATAAAAATGCGAAATATCATTATCATTTGGGCTGTCATCCAAAATGTTGGTTGATTGCTCAATTAATTAAGCCTGCATTAACATGCATATTAGAATAATCGTGATCACATTATTCTGGGGCTCTGTCATCTGCACTGGTTTCCAGACCAATTTTGGGCCCCATTCAAATTGCTGGTTTTAACCATTAAAGCCATAAGCCAAGGTGGAGAACCTTCTCAGCTGAGGTCACATTCCCTCATGGACAGCCTTCCGAGGTTACCTGTTCCTCTGTTGGTGCAGTGCCCTCAGGCCCCTTCCAGAACAGGTGACCCACTGAATTCCTGGGCTTGGGAGCCATCAGCCCACAGCATCTTGTCAGGACTTACCTCCCGTTTCTCATTGTGTGGCCCATCACTGCCTTCAGAGATTAAGTAGCCTCACCTGATTCCAATGAAAAGGAGAAACAGCTGGGGAGAGCAAGATGGACCCCTCCTGGGACAACTGCCAAGGAGTTGAGTAGAAGTCACCTCTAGGTTGGGGCAGAACCACCTGAACACCGTCCCTCAAACTCTTAACCCGTATAGTGCTTGAGGAAGATACATGCTCAGTGGTATGAAACCCCACTGAGAGAGCAAGGAGAAGACTCTCCCTGTCTTCCCACTGCAAGTCATCTATCAGGGTTACCAAAACTCTTTCATCAACAAACCCATGTTTGAAGCTAGGCTGAAATGAGTCAAGGACAACCAGCTTCTGCCAAGCCAAATACAGTGGTATCTCAGGTTACAAATGCTTCAGGTTACAGAATCCGCTAACCCAGAAATCGTACCTCGGGTTAAGAACTTTGCTTCAGGATGAGAACAGAAATCGTGCTCCGGGGGTGTGGTGGCAGCGGGAGGCCCCATTAGCTAAAGTGGTGCTTCAGATTAAGAACAGTTTCAGGTTAAGAACGGACCTCCGGAATGAATTAAGTTCTTAACCCGAGGTACCACTGTAGAAGCTACCTGCCCCCACCCTCTCAAGGACCTTGCTACAAACAAGATGTTACCGGTAAATATTTAAGACTCGGTCATGTTTTGTGTTAATTATATAAATTAATTTCCATATTAATTTCTGGTATTGATTGATAAATTTACAAATAGATGACCAAACAGGTGATAAAATAAAACTATGAGAAAATAAAACTGTTAGAACAAAACAGATAGGTTCTGAAAGTGAATAAAATATAAAAAGCAAAGGATTTGGTACCACCCACACAAGTAGCACGACATTTTTATTTATAGCCTACTGTGTTTATTACTTATCTTTAAAGCCTTTCCTGTATCCTAAACTGTGGTTGCATGTATTTATTTTAAATTGTTGCAAATATTGAGCTTTTTTTTTGTATTGGTGGGGAGATTAAACAACCAAGCAGTATGTACACGTTTTTCAACCGCTCCATGCCCACCCTTTTAATTTATCTTCCTGCGCTCCCTAATTTTTTGAAACATCCCTCCAAGAATGGCTGCCTCTGAAAACTTCTTCCCCAAATTTTTGTTTTTAAAACTCTGAAAACTTATTTTAAGGGGGTAAAAAAAAACCGGATGGTGATAATAAAGCTTGCACCTCTCTAGGCAGAAGATGGAATTAATTCCTTCCAAAAATAAAGGAGGGAGGGAGATCTTACACGTTTTGTGCACGGGATTCCAGAACTCCCCGGGCTGAGGATCAACTTTTCCCTCCTCCTCCTCCTCCTCCTCTCCCCTCTTTTCGCCCCCCCCCCTTCTCTTCCTCCTCCTCCTCCTCGCGATGCAGGGATGCGATCCTGCGCTGCCCAAGAGCGAGCGGCAATCTGTGTACATATAGATGTCTCTCTCTCTCTCTCCATATGTGACGCGGCCATATTTGCGGCGTGCGCTCGTCTCCGGCAGTAAACAAGCCCCAAAGTCTCGGGCAAGACAGACGGAGCGGCGGCGGACAGGCGGACGGAGCCCGAGGGAGCCGCGCCGAGGAATTTCAGGACATTTCGCCGCCGATGTCGCTGCTGCTGCTCGGCATGTCTTACAAGCCAAACTTGACCGCGCACATCGCGGCAGCGGCGCCCATCAGCCAAGGTAAGGCGCCAACTCCGCCGCTCCCTCTCCGGGGGGGGGGGGGCTTAAGCGCACCCAGGATCGCTCTCCGGCACCGGCTCGCCTTTTGCAAGCGGGGGTGGGGGGGAGAGAAGCCCCGCTGGCCCCGGAGGCGAAGCAAGCGCCGCGCTGCGCCCTGGCTACCTGGCCGAGCCCCGCCGGCGGCCGGAGACGGGCTCCCGCTTCCCCGCTCAGGTCGGATCCGCCGAGCTGATTCATCTCCGCCATTATGCACTTTTTGGGGGGCGCCGGCGGGGGGGGGCAAAGTTTGGCTGGGCGGCCAAGCCCCCTCCCCCCCCCCGGGCAGCCCGGCCAGGCTGCGCCCCGGGAAGCCGGCATTGGCGGCGGCGCCTGGGCGAGGGGTGGGGGGCCGGGGGCTGGGCGGGGGGGGGATCAAGGATCGGCGGGTGGAGGATCGGTCCTGACGCCTCCTCCTCCCCCCCCTTCCCCTCCATGATCGCCTCCCTAGAGCGGCTGATTGATTCGGATCAAGGCAGGAAGCGCGGCGCGCTGCACGCCTGGGCGAGGGCCGCTGCTGGTGGCGGGGCGCAAGTGCGCGAGGAGCCGGGCGGAGGAGGAGAGGCGCGGGGCTCGGGGGGGAGCCGGCCACGTGCAAATGATACGGTGTTTTTTAAAAATTTATTGCATATATAGATGCATATCCCACCTTTTCCTCCAAGGAGTTCAGGGTTCACTGCCAAGTCTCCGCGTTTAACTTCCACAACAACCCTGGGAGGTAGGTCAGCCTGTGCTTGCCCCCCAGGGGTCGCATCCAGGGATGAGTGGGGTGGAGGGGATTCGCACCCAGGTCCTAGTCGACACTCTCACCACTACACCACACTGCCTCTGATCTCAGGCACCTTCCTGAAGATGAGAACCTTTGGAAGCGGCCTTATTGCGAATCACTATGTCTTCTGAGCGGCAGCGACTGCAGGCTGTTGGGCAGGGAATGATTTTCTCCCCGTCAGCTGGTACCTGAGAGCCTCTTATCTGAAGGTGCGGCAAACGGGACCTGCACGCAAAACGTTTGCTGTAACCCAGGGTTCCCCCAGCTGCTTCATTCAGCAAGCTTCATTCAGTGTGTCCATGGATTTGTGATTTAAGAGCATATTATTATTATTATTATTATTATTATTATTATTATTATATATTGCATTTCGTTGTGTTACAATTTGAATTGCTAGGACAGGCCAGAAAAGCATTAAGTAGTTCACCAAGACTGTCAGCAGTTTTCAGGTGGTCCCTTTAGCAGAAATGTTTGGGAACTGGTGCTCTGAGAGTGGCATGCTGCAAGGCAGGCTCACTGCCTGTTGAGTGTGCCATTCAGGAGATGTGTGCATCTGACCGATGGGCATTGCCCCAGGTGAAACTTCATTGTCACCAATATCTACTTCAGCGGCCGTTCTCACATCCAGCTGCCTCTTGTGACCAAGTGATGTTCATGGATGTGTAAACTGCCCCTTAAACAAGCCTTTACTGTTTAGAAAAGTTGGGTGTTTTGACCTTAATCTTCTTATCAGTTAAACCTGTCATTTGTGTGAAGAGAGAGCCTGGGTTGTTTTCAGTGTTAGTCATACTCCTAGTAGTCCCATTGAAATGAATAAACATTACAAAGGTCCATTAATTTCACTGGGTCCACTTTTGAGTAGAACTTCATTGGAGAAAACCCTGTGTTTCACTTTCACTTTTGTTTCTACTGTTTTACTTTATTTTGCCTTTCTCTTCCACATCTTCCCCTTCCACCAAAAAAGAAAGAAAGAAAGAAAAAAGTTCCCTTCAGTTTAACTTTGCCTCTTGCAAACTGCAGAAAGCTCTCTGTGTTTTACAATACTTCTATCCAGTGCTATTTTTCTGGAAAAAGAGGTGCTAGAACTCACTTCATTCTCTTAGAATGGTAATGGCGACCATCTGAGAGGTGCTGGAAGTTCCGGCTGAAAAAAAAGCCCTGCTTATATACCACTTGAATAAAACACCCCGATCTTTGTACAAAGTAAATTCAGCAGGTCTAAAATTTCCCAACTCCTGGTTTAGCATACTTAGTCCTGAAAGACTCTCACAGCAGCTTTTCCAAAGACCCTCACACTGACAATTGCGTTTGAGGCTGCTATTGGGGACAGAAACAGTGTGGTGTCTCTATGGCTTATTCATGTGGGATTTCCTTGATTGCCCTACAGCCTCTGCCTACTAGGCAACAGAGCCCCCTGAAGTCCTTTGAGGCAAGGGGGGGCAGTTGAGCTGTGGAAACTGCTTCATCAGGGCAAATGGGTCACTGCCCCACCAGCCTTGTATCGCCCTGCAGTCTTCTTAGAATCATAGAATTGTATCGTTGGCAGGGTCCACTGCCAGTCAGCTTCCTCACAGGGAAAGAAGGTGGGCGGAAACCTAGAAGGAGCTGGCTCTGCCCCTCCTTGGCTTCACCCTCCTGTCGGTTCCCCCCCTTCTGCACTGCTGGTCCCAGGGGGGTCTGGCCATCACTGCAGCTGGAAGCTCTTCAGGCCTAGATAGAGGCAAACCTGCCTTTGCTGGGAATTGCCAGGCAACCGCTCCCACTGAGGTCCTCTGAGGCAAGTGTAATTATTTCTGTGGTCATCCAGACTTTAAGAGAAATTGCTCCAACCATAAGCAAAAGGGTGGGGGAAGTGTATGCAAAGTTCCTACGGGGGGCTTCTTGATGGACAATTTCCATTTGCCTCCATTTCTTGTAATTGGAGAGGCTGAGGATTGGACCTGGGGCTTTCTGTACGGAAAGCCTGTTCTGTGCCCCAGAGCCTGGGTCCCCTGGCCTGGCCTGGCTGTGCTCTCTGCCATGCACAGCTCAGCCCTCTGCATGTGGACTCAGAAGTCCGTTCCGCTGTGTAGGCAAAACCAGGCAAGTTCAGCAGAGTTACTACTATAACCAGATCCCCTGTCAGATGCAGATTTTTGTGACTGAAAGAGGACCCTGAGAAGGAATATCTGCCCCAAATTGCCATTTGGGATTTCTTCTGTAGCTTCTCTCGAAGGCTAAATTGGTCTGGCGTTTTGGTGTTCCTACAACTCTATGGCAAATTAGGATCTGACACGCAGTGAGCTTTACGGCTGAGTTGGCATCTGAGTCACATTCCCCTTAAGTCGGAGTCCACTATTCCATCTCTCTTTCCAAAGCAAGCAGAATCGCTTTTTGACGCGTGTCCTTGAAGGCACGTGTGGAGAACCTTTGTCCCTCCCGGTGTTGCTACAGCTCCCACCACCCCTGGCCATGCTTGCTGGGGCTGATGGGACTTGTAGTTCATCAGCGACTGGAGGGCCAAACATTCCCCACGACTGCTGTGAGGCATGGGTCAGGACTTGCCAATAGGCCATGGGCCACTTTCAGGTGGGTCTCAATGCCACCACCTGCCCACTTGCCCACCTTGTCGCTGCGGCCCACAGCTTTTGGGCTGGAGCAGTGCCAGCACCAGCAATTCCATCCATGCTGAGGTAAGGTGTCAAGAGGGGGAGACTGAGGGGAAAGGACCAAAGGAGGCGTTGAAGGAAATTAGAAAGTGAGAGAAAAGAGAAAACACTAGTATTTCATCATTATCATCATCATCATCCACCTTGGCTGTTATTTACCCACCCTTGGCCTGAGGGTCCCAGGGTGGGTCTCAGCAATTTAAGATACAACATCAAAAACAGTTTACAACAAATTGCAATCACAAGTATAGGACGGAGTCAAATAAATAAGGAATTTAAAAGAGAACAAGAGGGGGAAACTCTAATAGAAGAAATTAATGAATGGAAAAGGTGAGGAAGGAGGAAAGACTGACAGTTTTGGGGAAAGGAGGGAATAACTTACAAGTTGAGTGTGAAAGGAAAATGGGAGAAGAAATTATAGGACATGGGTAAAAAATACTTTGAGAGGCGTGGGGTGGGTGGGACAGGGGAAAATATAAAAGAAAAGCTGCTCCATTTACTGCCTCTGGCTCAGAAAAATCTGCTCAAAACTGAGGTTGGGTTGTCACAGTAGCTCCAAAGCAAATGTTTTTGAAGAAAAAGCAGTGGCAAAGAATTTACCAATTTCCAAAGATGTATTGGGTATCTGTAGAAAATTCTATCGGTAGTCACCAGGGCACGGCTTGATTAGCCCTGCCCTCCATGTGCCAGCATCTTGTGACTGCTGTTTTCAGCTCTCTTAAGTGGGCCCTGGAGCTAGAAAGTTTGCAGACCCCTCTGCTTCAAGGTTTAAGCTGTCCTGTAATAAGGTATTGTTGAAATTAATAATTGGGGCTATCTATTGTTGTAGCAGAAGCTTAGCAGAAACTTAGACTTTGGTTTCTTACAGCAAATGCTGCTGATTAAAGAGTTGTTTGAGCACATTTAATTTGTAGTTTTCTCTCTTTCTCTCACTCTGTGTGTCTATTTTGAAAAGTTGTTTGTTCACTATGCATTTGAATACCCCTTAAGATACCATAACCAAATGTTGCATGTTGGTTCCTAAGATCAAGCTGCAGGTTTTCACCCATGTTTGGATTCAGCTGGACACCGTTTTGAATCAAGATGGTGGACTGAACATTTTCAGTCTGCACTGATTTGAACCAGTGATGTCCAAAGGGACCAGGCAGACGGCCTTCCCGGTAGTCGCGCCCTCCCTGTGGAACACACTCCCTTCATGCGTTGTCCTGGTAATTTGCAATGGGTTTTGTGCAGGAGAATGTCCTGACGGGTTGTGCCCTTCAAGACCCCTTGTCTGAGCCTTGTGTGTTCGCATGCCTGGAGCCTTGGATTTGCAAATGTTTTTCTTCAGGTGCCTCATTTTGGCTTTGGAGCTTCCAAATAGACCCCTTACAGTGAGCAGAAGCAACATTTTATGTCTTTTTTAAAAAAACACCTTAATCTGAGTGGAAACGAGGTATTTGGAGAGAAGACGTGTGGTGGCAACCAAGTCTCTTGGGTGTCAGTGGAAGCCCGTTTTTAATTCCGGTTTCAAATCTTGTGTAGTGATGCTGGTTTGGTTGCCCATC